TACCCATTATTATTATAAGTGGAGTTAAGAATGAAGTGAAGTATAATTTAGTAATGTACAAAAATAACTGATACTGTTGATCGGTGCGTCACTGTTGTAGGCGGGAATTCGGAAAAGCAGGATACATAGTTATTTAATTTATATCTATAAGTAACGATTTTTCAAAACTTCATCTAGAGCGAAGTTCATTTATAATATGATTTATAAGACCGTAATATTTCTGATTTTCGTCAACATTTTATTTTAAGATCATTGTACAAAACAAATTACTACCTATCTACTAAGTACAACTAAATATAACGAACCTCCTTTTAAATTATTGAGCATTTCTGTTGGCTCAAACAATATAAATCCATATAGTACATACCAGAGAAAAATTATGTAAAAAACCTAGACAATTTAAAATGCCTATAAATTGCGCCAGAATATTTTTAAAATGTTATCACGTCCAGTAAAGGTAAGTATAAGTTTTATGTCAAAATTTCAAGTCTGAATTAAAACAAAAGACAATATTGAAAATATTGAAGTTATTATAATATACAAGTATAATACTTTCTTGTTCTTGTTCTTTGTTTTTTTTCCTGGTTTTGCTTAATTATTAAGAAAACTATGCGAAAATTAAAAAACGACTTTCTTCAAATTTTCTGTTTGAAAATTTGTTTACAGAAATAAAAAAAAACACACACATCCTTTATTAAAACAATTGACTCACCGCTCCGCTCTGAATCTAAAACTGTATAAGTAATAAGTAGTAGCCAGGTATATTGAAGATACTTAGTATACTTTGTTGAAGATTATTTGAAAAGAAGAAGGGGGTATTATTTATTCGGACTCGGATTGTACACTTGGCCTTTATTTTGGTTGTTAGTGGAAAAAATTCTGAGCTGAAGAGTATCTGATTGATTGTATTTTTCCCTTGTTGTCAAGTCAACCCAGAATCAGAGGCGTAGAAACTATTTTTCATATGGGAAGCAAAAATATAGATGGTGTTTCTTATAATTATCCATAATTACGCCATCTATATTTCCTCAGACCCATGTTTCCCTCCATGATACGCATGTAGGGGAAGGACTCACTTTCCCTATTTGTGTGTTTTTTTTAACTCTTCTACCGGTGCTCGAAATGGAAAATTGATTAAACCATAATACATCTTTTTTTTTTAAAAAAAAACAGAGTGATCAAAATAATGTGTAAGGCACTCGTTATTTCGGTGTAGTTAATAAGTACCTACACCAGTATTCTTGTACACTTTTGTAATGTATTATTAAAGATATTTGATCGTTGTAATAAAAGCTTTCGGGTGGTTAAAAAATAAATCTAGGAAGTGACCCGCTGAATATATTAATAAAACAAGTAGACATTTCACCTTTTTTAGGGTGGGTGACTACTTCGCAAAAAAAGCATTTACCTAGCCTGCAAAAAGTATTTAAATAAAAAAAACATGAAAACATTTTTTTGAAAAATAGTATTGAAAATTTTGAAAAATAATTCCTAGATTGGAATTGATAAATATTAATTGAAAATTATTGAATTTAGTTATAGAATAATATCCATATTATATGTTAATAATAATTAATCGATTACTGTTATTTTACAGGTGTCCAATAATTCGGTATTGTTTTTAGATCCTACCTCGCTCGTAATGAGTATTTGTTTCGAACTTTCGCAATCATTGAAAATGGTGACATTATTGTGGCGATTCGTTTTCGACAATCGTTTATCAGTGCTACTGGCGAAATTGGCGAACGTTGACGAAAAGTTAGCGAACTTAAACGTTGTACGGCCATTGAACAAAAATTGCGTACTGCTCTTCTTCATAGGAGTAGCTATACATTTTACGGGACACTGTTTGAAACCCATAAATCACATTATATATCTACCCAACTTTCCGATCTTATATTTGGTAACTATGGCATATTAAACTATAAATTATGTGTCTGGTGAAGATTAGTTGCTTATTCGGTACCTATAGGAGGCGTATTTAAACACCATTATAGGTACCTAACACAAGTATTATCTACCATTACTCCACCCAAGTAAAATGATCATTCTCTATATGAAAAACGAATAACATAAAATACCTACTATGAGGTATGACCAACTTGTTAATTTTAAATTTGTTTAACGTAATATAGGGTATCGTAAAATAGGCAGTTGGTCAATAGGTACATAATATATCCCTAATAAAAAATTGACCAATTATTCAACTAAAAATAAAATTAAGAAAAAATAATACTGGGAGCAGGTGCGGACACTGTTGTAGGTAGATAGCTGAGAAGATAGGATGCATAGAGTTATTTTATTATACCTACAACCAACAATAAACCAATGCTAACGAAAAACAAATTCGGAGCGAAGTTCGGTTATACATGTTTTGAAAGGCCGTAAATAGTAAACGATTTTCGTTAAAATTTCATTTTAAAACTCTTATAAAAAAAGTATTATATAACATTATGTTTTTTTTTTTTATCCCTAAATACTACTTACAGTAAACTTACTGTCAAATTTTAGGCATTTCTGTATAGTCTAATAATTTTATACACAGAACACCTACCAAATAACAATTATATAAAAAATTCGCAAAATTTAAATGTCTCAAAAATATCTCAATGTTTTACCACGTCTAGAAAAAGCAAATAAATATAGATAATTTTTCTGTCAAAATGTCAAACCTCTAGGAAAATTTTTAACTGAATTACATAAAAAAAACGAAATTTAAAATAGGTAGGTACAATAAAAGAATTATTTACGTACTTTTTCGGTTTTCTTCAATTATTACAAAAACTAACACGAAAATCAAAATATGAATTACTCATTCCCGAACTAGATTAAAAATGCAAGATGAAAGGTCTTTTGCCGTTTTTCTATTGGAACAATACTTATGGTAGGAAACATAAATCGTAAAAGTTTAAAATAATGAAATCGTTGTGCCGTAATTTGAAAAGAATCGTATTTTTTTGGGTTTACCTAATTATTATGAAAAATACTTTCGATATCAAAAAACGGCGATTATGTGTTAAAAGGAACAAAATCGATCTTTTGTCATTTTTCGATTGGAGTAATATTTCTGATGGAAAACTTAAGTGTATGTAACACAATGAAAACGGTAACGACGTGGCGCACCGTAAATATTTGCCGTTTTACTTAGAATTTTCCCAATTATTTCGAAAACCCATCGGAAAATCAAAAAATTACATTTCTAATGCACTAATAAAACGAAATTTCCTTTTAGAAAATTTACTACATTCTATACATCGGAGCAACATTTCTTTTCGAAAATTTGTTTACAGACCGAAAAAAAACACACACACACACCATAGTAAAACTAATAGATCCGTCGCTACGCTCCGAATATAAAACCATATTTTAAATAGATTTTTTGAAAAAAAAAAAAAAAAAAATATCTAAAATTTTATTAGTCTGTAATTTGTGTAAATGTAATAATTCGATATTGGTACCTATTCAAACACGGTTCATTTTTAAATCGATATTTGTATTAATTCGTTTTTTAATTAACTTCAACACTTAACAAACACAAATAGGTAACATAATAGCACCTATTTCTTACTATAACTATAGTAAATGTATAAATACACTGAAGAGGTCAAAAGTAATAGATACCCTACACGTCAATATCATTTTTAAAATCGAAATTTTTTAAAACTCTAATAATAATGCATTTTGAATGTATATACTTGGTCACTAACAATAATGATATGATTTGTTTAGGTGTTTTACTTCATAGTGGACGTGTGTTCTTTTTTTGCGTATTACGAATACGTCCTACTGATAATCTGCACCCAATGTATATTATACGAAATAAACGATAAAATATGCAAACCAAATATTTCAATAAAAGACTTACGGGACATGCACTTGATCGTAGTGGATTGCATAGAGGACATGAACATGTCGGTATACGGGATACCCGCGTTAATAAATTTCGTCTTTGGCAATATGTCTCACATAGTTTTCGACGTGTTTTATTTTGTATTCTTCGATAGAGTGTTTTACCTACAACTGACATTCAAGTACATTATCATAGCACACGATCTGACGAGGGTGATTGACATTATCATGCTGTATTGGGTTTGTTACACGACAGAAAAAGAGGTTCGTTTGAATACAACGCAATTAATACGTATACCTAAATACATGTTTTACATTTATTTGAAAAAATATTGTTTTGGTTAAGCGTAAACTATAAATACGTAAGTAAAAAAAAAACAGTGATTTAGGTTGATTGGCGAAAAAATAATCGCGAATACAATAAGAGCACAGACAGAAAATTAGTGAAAAAAATTACCTGCTTAATAATCTAATAAAATTTATCATGCACACAGTGATTTTTTGGTGGAAGGGAGAAGGCTGTCGGGCGATAACAATCTAATGATTTTATAAAAAAATAATGAATCTTAATTTCGAACATAATAATTTTATAAAATGTATGTAACAAATTATATCCTGTCATACAAATAATTAATTTAGTTGGTTAAAATAATTAGTTAAATAATCGATTGGAATTTTCTTCTAAAAACACTATTTTATAATCATAAAATTTGATTTACATTTAATTAAAAAGTTAAATTGTTAATAAAAGTATAATGGGGTTGTATTTATAATATTCCATAAATAGACAATTATCTACTCATCAAAGCAACATCTGATTATGTGATACAAGATTATTCAATTGTTCCATTTATTTTGTATCTATACTGGAAGCTGCAATATCTTATTAATTATTATAACATTAATTATCTTTAATGCGTCAAGAATCCATTCTGGTCGGAGTGTGTTGAAGTGAAACTATTTTTTAATATTTGTACAATGTACATGCATATAGGATGTGGGTATATTGGTTTGGTGTATATACATATATATATACTCACAATGAAGCCAATTAATTAGTATTAAATAATTTTCAAAGAACCAAATAAAATACAAAGATAATTTTTGTGCAATGTTTATTTAAAAAACAAAAAAAATTAAATAGTATTGTATTGATTTTGCGTGGAAACATTATGTAATAAACTAAATAAATATGGAAAACGAAGAAATAAAAAAATTTAAAAAAAAGATTTGATACTAGTTAATAATTATTTAAAGTAATTAATTATAGAAATTACAATTTTTATTTAGTACAAGTAGCATAAAAATTAATTGACGTATTTATTTTATTTATAATTTAGTATTTTATACATACATTTCCAATGTTATATTTTTTGGTGTTTCTACACATTCTCAATTATTTATTCATTATTGTAATAAATGTTACATATCTAAAATGCATTGTTCATTTTGTTGCTAAAAAATACAAATATAGAATAACTATGTTTTATAGATAAAACGGACAACACTTTTGTTAAACCAGCGAATTGTTTTAGAAACAAACCCAAGGATTCATAGACAGGTAACTTACATATATATATATATTTTTAAACTTTGATAAATACAAAAGAATAATTATCCCATTGTTTTATTTTCATTTTAGATAGCATATTTTTTACTAGGAAGATTGCATGCAAATTTCAATTTCAAGTTATGTGGGTTTTTCAAAATTAATTTCAAACAATTACTCATTTTAATTGCCAAAGCGACAGCATTTATGGTCATCCAATTTCAGTTTAAGATAAATCGCATAGTTTCTCATTAATGAAACATACTTTTTTACTATTTTAAAAAAATTGAATTACCCTAAAATATTAAGTTTATTAAGTTTTATTAATTTCTGATAAAGCATAATCCAGAAAAAAAACTTCATCAACAATCCAAATAGCAAATAAAGTACAATATAAAATAAGAAGTTTCTGATATTTTGGATTATAATGTAAGTTTTCAATTTTCAGAATAATTATTACAGAACATTTACACCAAGATATCAGTAATAATAATAAATACAAAATATAAATAACTAATATTTTGTTTCAAGTTTTATACTAGCATAATATTCTCATATTAAGTATTATATATGCTACAACAAAAAATAAACACTTCTAGTCAAATAGACAAGTAGATAGATCATTTTTATAGGCAATGCTGAAAAAAATATACAACTTTTTTTTGTTGTAACAAGTCATTTAATGTAAAAGATCAATTATTTAACCTATGATTTACTGTATTTTAAATGAAATAAAACTGGAAGCTGTTATTTTATATAAAAATATTAAATATTGAAATTTGATTTGTCTATAATTTTTAAACTTTATACGAGGCATACCCAATAGTTTGCTAACACAGTATAGTAAAACTCCTTCCCTTTCAAACAGAAGTTGGCTCAACTAATACAATGTTTAGTTTACGTCTGACACGTTTACAATGGACTCTTCTATGTCAGCCGCCACAACCTTTCTTTCTATATATGCTCAATGTGAACTTTGTGTAATTTTTCATTTTTTACATTCAAAGGGTGAAACTCCAATATTCTTGTGAAAACTTTGTGAGACCTGGAATAGCTTGCATATTAGCAAAAAGTGGGAAAAAGTGGTGTAGATAAGTTTCAGAAGGTGGAATGGAAATTCATGATGAATAGAGAAGTGGGAGACTTTCGATTTCAGATGAGGTGAAAGAAAAACTTGAAGCTGAGCTTTGTAAAGATCAACAAATGACGATGTAAGAATATTGGAGTTTCACCCTTTAAATGCAAAAAAACAAATAACGGCGCAGAGTTCGCATTAAGAATACATGGGAAGCAAGGTGGAGGTGGCTGATGTAGAAGCGTTCATCGCAAACTAAACATCGGATCAAGTTGATTCAACTTCCATTTGAAAGCTTTATGTATATATATATATACACTCGTATTACTAACTTATGGAAAAATATTTATTTTTTAGCGAAAGGAACATGGAGATTTTAGTATTGGGGCATGCCTCATAAAATGTACATGAATACATTTTAATGGGTCACATTTGTAACTAATTTAGTTTTACAATTATTTAAGTAAATGACAAATTAAATACATTATGCAATATGTAAAAATGCACAAATAAAATAATTTTTGTACACAATGTAAATTTAATGAAATAGGATTGATGAGAGTACATAAAAAATTGTATGCAACTAAATCACTGAACTAAATTTTAAAAAAGTAATTTTTTTTTATTATTATAAAAATTGAATTTAAATTTAATCAAGTATCCCCACAATGACAAAATTAGTAAATATTTTATGAATAGAAATTTGTATTAATTATGATTTTTTTTAGTATTAAAATATACATGTATATATATTATATATATACATGTATATATATAAAAAGATGGATAATATTTGTACATATATTAATCATTAACTTTCTTCAATATAATTAATATAGTTTAATTCATTCCAAGTTTTTCTTATAATACAACTTTACTTTAAATACTATTTAAATACTACAGTATCCAACATAGAACCCAAGCACTGGACAATGTTTCCAGTCATCAAATTATCAACTTTTTCTTCTAAATGTCTCTTCGGATCTTGTTTACCAACATTTTTTATGGCCAATTGTTCTGGTGTCATTTTATCCTCTTCTTCCAGAGCCTATCAATAAAAATTTTAGTCATGAAAAAAATAACTCCATTTTAAATATATTTACTTTGTTATATGACTTGGCTAGTTCTAGCATATCTTTAACAGTTGTCCGATTAGTATCGCAATGTTTTTCATAATCTTCAAGTGCCATGCCATCCATCCATGACTTTTTGTGTAAATTCAATAACATTTTTTGTTCAAGTTCATTCTTGCGATAATTTATTGAGATAGAATAGTAATGACGATTAAGACCATGAATTAAAGCCTAAAGAAAACGTAAATTTGTTATATATAATTATATTATATTATTATTATTACATCATGCTGTTTGTAAAAATATGAAAACAATAACAATTTACAATTGTTAACAATAACAGTTAACTGACCTGAACTGATGGTTTTTGTAAATGTCCCAAGTTGCTAGTAGTTTGCCTTGGCTCTTGGCCAAGTACCATCATATTTGGATTAATTAAACGGAAAGCGTCAATCACTACTTTACCTAAAATAAAAATGTCATGTTCAATTATATTATACTAACTTTGATTAGTAATTCAATTAATATAAATAAAGTATTTGAATAGCAATAAACATATATTTTATAATCGAATAAAGTAGGTACATAAACAAAAAATGTTGCTGAAAGAAATTGTTATAAAACAGTTCATTATTATCTAGGGGTTTCTTTATCCAGCCGTTATCATTTTTTTTTTCACTTTTGCTTACTGTACACCTATTTATTTATAGATTGTGAATACATTTTTAAAATAATAATATAAAAAATTAGTTATATTGTTTTAATTTTTCTTGAATTCTTTTCATTTCTTTTCATTAATAGTGAAGGGGAAGCATATTTTCTATTTAATAGAAAACACATTTGAATTTAAATATTAATACCTCATCACACACGTCAGTATAACAAATTTTTAAATTCAAAATTATATATAACACATTTAACATTAAAATATAACAAAACTAATAAAGATACATGGGTGTAACACTGTGTTAGGTAGTAAGTTAGAAGGTAACATAAATGTAGGGTGATTTAATTTATACAACAATAAACCATTGTTAAAAAAAAATGATTCTGAGTAAAGTTCAGTATCAGGTTTTAAAATGCAGTAACTTAAGATTTTTGTCAAATGTTGCACTTGTAAAATGCATATTAAAAATATTAAATATAAAAAATCAAATTTTAAATTGCAATATATATGATAAAGCAAAAACAATTTCATAACATAATTATCATATAGGTAGATACTAGAGAATTTTATTTTTTTAAAGAGCTCCAAAATAAATTATCTTTGCATTCAGTGACACATACAGGGGGAGGATTAAAATACCAATAAAAATCTTTTGTTTTATTTTTTATTCTAGAACTGCCTAGTATGACAGGATGATTAATACTTAAAAATGTTAAAATATACATATTTGTGATTATTTAGTTATCCTATAAGACAAAATGTATTTCAAATGCAATACTTGTGTTTCATGAACTTTAATCTGCAGTTGTAGATGCACTTAATAAAATATCTACTTTATTTTACTTCATTATTTATTAATTTATTGTTATATATTTTATAACTTATCTATGTTAATAACCCTAATATTATAACAAAATAAAACTAGTAATACAACAGTCAACATTTTTAAAATAATCTAAACTTCACTGAAACTCGCTATTGATATAGTTTATAAAATAAATATAATACTATATTATAATAAGTACCATATTTATTAAAACTATTCAGTTTAGTGTTTACATTTTATTATAATTCTATTGATATATTTTTTTGTAAAAGTAATAAATTACCCTAAAATAAAATAAGTAAAATATTTATTATTTTAGTTCTTAAAAGACCTAACTGCTGTTAGTCCATATGCAATAAGCATGAATCTTTTCGCAAAAAGACTAATTTTCTATATGGCCTATGACATATATATGTAAGCAATGATTAAGCATTGCTAACAAAAACAATTCTGAGTGGAGTTCGGTTAATAGTGTTGTTTTGTCAACAATATGTCATATCATAGTAAAATAATTTCACATATATTAAAAATTTTCTTTAATAATATTTGTTTAATATTGTACCTATTTTCTTGTTTTACCTATGTTTTTTCTCTGTTTATTATGAAAACACCTGGAAAAATCAAAAATTGACATAAAGCACTACCCCAGTCAGATTTCCTATCAGAAAATGTGCTATACTTGTAAATTGGACAGAGATTTCTGGTAGAAAAGTTGTTCACAATATAAAAATAAATAAACATCATTGTAAATTTCCTTGCTCCACTCAGAAACTAAAAATGTTGAACATTTTAACTTTATTTGTAGGTAATATTTGCTAATATTATTTAAATGATTAATACCTTTAACACTCTGAATTGGATCAACCACAACAGCAACTGCTCTTTCAGAAAGTGCTTCAAAACTTTGTTGGGTATTGATATCCACGCCAGACAGCCAACAACCAAATCCAGGATGTGAATGATACCATCCAACGACCATTTCTGGTCTACCAGTCTGTTTTAACATATCTAACATCTTAGCTTGGAATACAGGATCTACAGCTTCAACACTCACACCCTGAAAACATTATTGATTAGTTAATAAGTGGGAAAATAATATTACAATATTTAATATTCTTACTGTTCCTGTTTGGGGCATGGCAAATACATCAATTACACGTACAGTGTAATCATCTACAAATTCACCCAACATCAAACCCATAACTTCCATTGGAACTCCAGCTCGTCCATGTTTTAGCATTTTTAACAAAGCCAATGATGACACATATACTTGTTCGGCAGTATCGACAACGGGGGTATCGGCTGATTGTACAGGCCCTTGTCCCATAGGAATACCACCACCCAGTCTTAATAAACGATCCATAACTTATGAACTATCGACAAAATAAAATAATAATAAATTGATTACCAGGCATTTGGCTATATGTTTTCAAAAATTTGATACATACCTGTAATGACAGTCTCAGAGATACCTAAGTTCGTTTTGAAAATGAATTGGCTAGTCACTACTGTTAATCGACACAAAGTATACAATATACAGACATACAGTAGAAATGATTAAGCGAATTTGAGTTTGACAACAAACTAATCACATAACCTAACCTAAATTACTAAACAAAATGAGGTTATAACATCAAACCATGAAACAAGATAAGCTGATATAAAACTGATAAATTGATGATAACAATGTTATTGAAATCACTAGAATTCTTCTATTATCTATGGAAGGAAGTTACTATAATTAGTTATCTTGATTGAAGTGAAAACGCTGAAAAACTATATATTTTCGTATTTAAAATTCCAATAATTGTAATGTTTGATACATTTAAAAATGCCATTTAAACTTTTATTAAAAATTATCGTTTAAAAAATAAGTTTTAAAATTAATGGGCATTTAAATTTGATTTATTTTAAATGGTTGCAATGTCAGAAGTCAAAGAGAACCGTAAACCACGATATGGTGGAGGTCCTCATGGTTTAGGTAGATATATTTTCTACTGGTAATTTTAAACACCATATATAATTTTATTTTTTTTTTTCATGTTTTAGGAGATCCTGATGATTATAAGTTACGAAAAATTGAGGCAAATGTATTAATTCCAAAAATTATACGAGAAAAAGCTAAATATGAAAAATGTGCTGTAGAAAATAAAGGTATTCTTTTTGTATATTGGTTTAACTGGTTTAACACTTATTGGTATTACTCGGTAAACATTAATTCTATTTCCATACATTTTTTGTTCAGTTTTTGGAGATTGTTGCTTAGATACTGGTTTTTGGATGTTTTATAAATGTAGAGCTGAAGTAAAAGAATTAAATAATTGTATGGCCAAGTGGTTTGTTGATGATGATTTTATAAAAGAATGTCGAAATCAATACCTAAACGATCGCAGAAAATACAGACTAACAGGAGTTGGAAAACATGAAGAAAAGAAAATGGCGAGTTAAAAAAAAAAAATAGATTTTAGAATTAAAAAAAACAATGTAGTATTACAATAAAACTAATTAATACAATTATATATATTTTTTTTTAACCATATTAAAACATTGTATTTTAGATAAATTCAAATCTTAAATTGTGATATTATTACTCTAAGGTTGATAACTGTTCTCAATTTATAGGTTTTAGTCTGTGGTGCTTTGGCACAAATCGTCTGACAATTGTATTAAGTACAGTGTATCTAGTTAGATCGATAGTCATTCTTTCTTTATATGGAGGACCATTAACAGTGCATATAATTAAATCTTTGTTGACTGATTCGGAAACTCGACTAGATCCAAAAAATAATGGCCACGATGATAACAATTCGCTGTTTTGTCCATTAATGCTAATCACTACCACATAGGAAGAATGATAATAACCAGGTGATGCTTTGTAAAGTACTAAAAACAAATAATATAATATTATAAAATATAAGTGAAAAAAAAAAAATGTAGAAAATGATTCAATATTAGTTACCATAATTGCCACCAAATTGATGTCCAAACTTAACAATCCATCCTTCAGATCTATAATAATGATACGCTGCATAAAAAAAAGGAAAATCTTGTTTCAAACCATTGAATCGTTGCCAACAATCAGATACACTTATTACAGAGCTGTTTTCGTCTCGTATTTCTAAACATCCTAATGTGTATGACAAAAAAAAAGCTTCTTCTAAAAGTAAATAGTAATGTGCAAGACAGTTTTCACCGGATAAAATTAATTTATTAAAATAATCCCTAGGATAGTTTTGTTTAAAACTTCTCCAATTATCTGGTGATTCCATAAAGTCATTGGCATAGTAAGAATATTGTTGATGCGGGTTATGTTTCTTCATTAATAATTTAAATAAATTGCAGTTGTCTGCATATTGCTCTGCAGGGTTATACGCAATAGATTTATTTCTAAGGGACTTTTTGTTTGTACTATTAGCTGTAATATTTTGAGGAAATTTAAAAGGCTTTAATTCCATTAATTTCCAATCCTTTTTATGCATTAAAATTTGATTTTGTAGTGTTCTGTAGTCTGTGAGTATGTTCTTATCAAATACACCAAACTCCCCATAAGAACCCTAATGTTAAAAAAATAAATAAATAGGTACCTGTTACCTAATCAAGTTCCTAAATTATAATACAAGTTAACCGTAACAAAATCACTTACAAACTGTTTAAGGAGTGATATATCATTTGAGTCATTGACAACAATGTGTTTCCCATTGAAAATTGCTTGAAACGATGGCCATTCATTCCCGTCTAAGACTGTCCCATCCTCATTTAAAAAAGGAAAATTAATCAGTTCAATGTTAATAGGTTTTTTTTGTTTCGGTGGCTTTAAAGAATACATTTTATATTTTTTTAAGACCCAAATTAATATTTGACAGATGTACAAAATATTACCCACCTTGATAAGAAATAGTTATCCACCTTGATAAGAATATATCATAACGTGTAGCTGTAGCATACTCACCGAGCTGATGTATATACATCTAGTGCTTATCATAGCTGCCGCACCGTTCGGCTTGGCATTTGATAGCGTTCAAACTACAACGATAACGTCACTTAATCCGAGCGCTACGTCATCGATCCGCACTCACAAACGCATACATAAAATAGGTTGATAAGCTAGATGACCTTAGTGTTTTGGATTTTGGAGTGTAGACGAACAAAATACAGTGTTTAATGTTTATACCCCAAAATAGATTAAATACTATTTATATTACAACCTAAAGCCCGGTTTACACTAAGGCAATATGTAACAACTTTTTAAATCGAAGTATGTTGACATAACAAAAGTTTCTATATATTTCCAGAAGATATTAAATGTTTCATTAATAATTTGTTGCAAGCAACAAACATTTCTCATTGTTTTATATTTCGATTTAAAACGAAACATGTTACTTTTGTTGTGTCAACATAATTCGACTTAAAAAATTGTTATATGTTGCATTAGTGTGGACCAGGCCCAATACTGCATAACGATTAATGATGATAACAAATTTAAAATCTTAAAATTAATGAAATGATTAATAAAATAAAATAAATATTAAATTAATAAAATTAATGGATTGTTTATGATATTACCTACTTGTTATTAATGTTTAGTATTTGGAACCGAAACACAATAGTTTCGACATAATTTTCCATTCTAGGTAGAATATTTTTGACAGTTAAATATGATACTAAGAGTTTTAGGGTATGGGTCATTCTCATTTTATTTTGACAAAGAGGAAAATAAAACTTCCCCAATTATAACTAATTTTTTTTTATAGTTCTAAAGTTAGCCCAACTAACTAGTTCATTTAAGTCACCCTTTAATAATTAAGTAGGTGTTTAATAATTATTAAATTAAATTAGTTTAATACATTGAAAATTTACAATTAAATATTTAAATCTGTAATCTGTTATCTATACAATATTTTCAATGGGCATACTTTTTTTAATCATGTTATTGAAATATTTTTAACCATTCATAGGTTTAAGGATGGTGTAGCATAATTTTATTTAATCTGTCTTTTTATTTAGTTCTTTTAGATTCTGAGTGGAGCGAGAAATGTATTGGTTTTACAATGATGTTTATTTGTATTTTCTGTGGACAATTTTTCTACCAGAAATTTTACTCTGATTTACAATGATAGCACTTTTTCTAAAAGAAAATCTGACTGGAGTGGTACTTTAAGAACGTCATTTTTTTGGTTTCCCCGGGAGTTTTCCCAATAAATGAGAAAAACGGGAAAATAAGCACAATATTAAACAAATGTTATTAAAAAAATATATATAATACATTTGTAATTATTTTACTATAATATGACATAACCTATACTGTTAACAAAGCAACACTATAAAGTATCAACCGAATTCCTCTCAGAGTCGTTTTATTATAAGCAATGGTTAATTGTTGCATACAGATGTACATTAAATTTCTCTTCTACTATCTTCCCAACTTCTCACTTACAACAGTGGCCCATCTATTATATGCAAAGTATGTCCGTCTTTTTTTTATTAAATAGGCAATATGATTAATAAATATAAAATTAAATGTGTATAGATCTAGTGTAAAAACCATATTACCGTCGTAAAAGTATTTTGTATTACCTACCAGTGGCGCCGAAACCAGCAGTCAAGTGTGGGATCACCACCCTTCCTTTAACAGATTGGTGGTGGTGTTTCCATGCTGAGTACTTGAGCCATATTTTATTTTATCAAAATGGTACGCATGGAATAATAATGAAGAGTGTTGTATTGGAGTTTATTTTGTAAAGGTTGTAAACTTGTTTTGATTAAGAATTTGATTTGAACGCGAAGTTTTTTTTAGTTCAATGAAGTTTTCTTAAGTTTTTATTTGTATATGTTTAGAGCAGTCTTTTTAATGTATATATAATGTATATATGTCTTATTCTCGTCATTCCACTAAGTTCGGTTACCTAGAAATAACTACAATTTTTTTTTAAATGTTTATGAATTTCAATCTATATATATATAAATTAATCGATATTATGTTGGTGACGCCATAACTCGAAAACGGATGAATCGAGTGAACTAATATTTTATTTTTATTGTTGTGTTCGTAATTGTCAGGATTAGGGTTTAGGAAATTTTTGGAAAATCCGCCAGAAAAGTACATTTGGATAGCATTTTTATATGAAAACCTGAATATTTTTTTTTTTTAAGTCCATTCGTATCAAGGTAACTGGTAAATCAATAAGAATAATTCGATAGTTGACGTCCAGTTCAGTCGTTACATGTTTCCATTACAGTAGGTCAATAGCGAATTGATGATAACTTACTTAAGAGAGAGGGCTATAATTTGTTGGAAAGTATTTTGTTGGAATTATTCAATATAATTTTATCATAAGCACTCCGTGACTCCATGTTATCGTCGTTGGGTAAAAATACGTTTCAGACTAAATAAGTTTCCAACAAAATATTTTTCCGAAAAAATACGATTCCGACAAAATATTTTCCAATATTTTACGCGCCCCCTTAGAGAGGACGTTTATCGATTTTTTCCGGAGTTTTCTTAACAAATGTGAAAAGCCGAAAAAACAAATGGAAAAATGTAAGAAATTTAGGTGTTAGCTAAAAATATTATGGTCTCTTTTTTCCTGTGGACAACTTTTCTACCAGCAATTTTGTTTCAACTTTTAATGATAGCAATTTTCTAAAAGAAAATTTTACTAGTGAGGTACTTATTTTAGAGGGGTCGCTTTTCGATTTTTACCAGAGATTTCTTAACAAACGTAAAAAACTGGAAAAAGCAGAGGAAAACCAGGGAAATCGTTACAGCATTAAACAAATGTTACTAAAGGAAATAAATAGAGCCTACCTAATTATTTTACTATAATATGGCTTATATATTGTTAACAAATCATCACTATCAGCTGAACTAGCAATGGTTTATCGTTGCTTTCAGGTATAATACATTAAATTACCTATAACAGTGGTTGCATCCGTCTCCTTTATCCTAGGACATCTTTTTTTTTATATCTATATTTTCATGTTTTGTTTGTACTCCGTTAATATTGTATTATAATTGTCGAGCTATCATAGTTAAGTTAGGTTAGATTTGTATATAAGAAAATTTTTGGAAAATCTATCGGAAATGTTGGAAATTTGTATGGTATTCAAATTATGGTGTTACCAACAAATGATCGATTCATATTAATTTACGTATACCTATAATACCTATATATTATATAGTGCGTTCACGCTAAAAGGTACCACTAAGTATATCAGTTGGATGACCTAGTATTGAAATATAATTTTCAGGGAATGATAGGGAGTACCCAAATACATATTTTCAGACTAATTTCAAATGTTTAATCCTTTTGGTACACACATGCGCAATACAACGTATTTTGTTTAAATGGCAATACCATTTTTTTTCTACAGATTCAGATAGAGTATATTTTTTAAAATAATTTTGGTACATCAAGTAGTTTTCTAATTACAAAATTAGCAAAGTTATAGTATGTTGAAATTTAATATTTACGAATAATTTGTTATTGATGAAATTTTAAATATGTTCAACTTATACTCGAAAATTGAAATGATATATCCGATATTTTGAAATAACTGTTTGTAGATAGATACAAGATACAAATAAATACTTTTTTGTTTTCGTAATTTACTCTTATTTTTTTCATTTATTGTTCCGAAATAAATTTAAAGTAATAAAAATTATAACAATGTACACACTATGAATTTGAAATTACGATTTATTTATTTGCAACTTTCAACATTGGTATTCCAAATAGTTTAAAATTTTTTTTAATGTGGCAACGTTTATTTGGTCTTCTCTTAAATTAATGTAATAATTACAGCTACTCGTAATTTGTTTTTTAAATGGACATTATTAGGAAGATCCACGCATACAATATTTTTTAAATGCTCCCATAAAAAGAATTGAAGTGTTTATTTGTGTCTTATCTGTCTACAAACAGGTATTTCACACAGGTAGATTAACAATAGTAATTAATTAATTTTGTATAAATATAAATTGTCGGCGAATACGCACATAAGGGTATAAAAGGAACTCCATGCCTCTGCGAGCAACGATTAAAATACAGTACACCCGCTCTCCTACTGTCGATCGTCCCCACTCTCCGATAGGTTAGATTAGGCTTCATTTCCTTTGAAATCCAACCCCTCTAAAATTCGGTTTTAAGTTATTTATGGTATGAAAATCGTGAAAAAATATCACAACAGAACACTTTTAGTCCGCCGAAGGTGGTCTACCCACTTTCCACCAATTTGTTCTCATTCAATACTAATCAAAAAGAAATATGAGTAAAAAAAAAAAATAAATAATTAGCACAGTCAACGGCAGCTAGTTATATCAGTGCCGGTGATACATATGCTGGCGCCCTGGGCGGAACCATTTGCGTCCTCCCTTCAATTAATCGAGTACAGTTATTATTTTTGAAGTGCTTCCTTCTCTTACAGTAAGCGCCCTAAGCGTAGGCCATGGTCACTCACCCCTAGCGCCGGCCCTGGTTATATTATGTACTTATACTATTGTATTATTATTTATATTATATTGATTATTTTAATAATCATTTTATTACACATCATTCATTAACAACACCAGAGGGGCAATTCTGTAAATGTGATCTAAAGTCGCTTAAATTATAGTCAGTACACGTTTTAGTCAATTATTTAAAGTCCATAGCGATTCTAAAAGATAATTATTAAATCAACTTTATTTTTGCGATTAAAACTCATTGTCACCGATTAAAAGATGTATTCTTTAGTTACCGGATATTATTGTAAAAAAGAACAGTGTTGCCAACTGCTGAATAAATAATTATAATTAATTATCACTTATGTATATTATTTTTTGCTATTAGATAATCTATAGCAACCGAAATCATGAAAACGAATAACTGTAAGAACCCAATAGATAAATCCATTTTTATTATTCATTATATCATTATTTGAGATTATTGTTGGGATGATTATATTATAATTGTATATTAGTTATATTGGTTACCTATTCAAGTATCCAAATACTATAATTTTACAATCTACATAATGGTATTTAAAGCAAATTATATTTACTTGAAATTTTACTGTAAGCCCATTACGTCGATTGTTTTTTTAAAAAGGTCGCATCATAAGCAATTTTATCTCTGGACCTAGAAAATCGTATCGTCGGCCCTGCCCTCCCTCTAATTATTTTTCCTAATTTTTTCGTTCTAAGTCAAGTTTTCTGTAATTTGTATTTAACTATAATAGTAATGTATTCGTAACTTATCAATCATTTTTATGTAATAACAAACAACAAAAAAAAAAAATGTAAAAAACAACCATTTAAATTATACAGATAATTTGAATGTTAACACTTATACGTCTTATACGTTGGGCTAAACGAGCTAAAATACCGTTCAATCGTACAATGATAGTAATAATATTAGGTATCATTTTACAATAATAATTATAATTATAACAATATTGAGTACATTTTGTTCTCTTCTAGGTCGATATTTAAAATATATGACCAAATTAACGCGATCAGTAATATAAATAATAATATATTAGTATCTATAGTAAAATTTTAGGATATAAGTATGTACACGCGCAGGCGACAGGCGTACATACAATTATAATAATAATAATAATAATAATAATAATAATAATAAATAATAAAATATTATAAACTCAATAATACGACGTGTGTGCGTCGTGTTTTAAAAATGGCGGTTACACGTTTATTTCGTCGTCTTCGGTGTGTCTGTTGCTCAGTAGCGATTCCATTGCGGCGCTCCGGAAACTGGTCGTCTTGTGGTGTCCGAGCTTGGTTCCCGAGTTTGTGTCCTCTATAGCTTTTCTCAACTGTAAATGAAATAAAAATTCGGCTAGGTTGAACATAGGTAGTATTATTTTTTTATATAAATAAGTATATTTGTTTTTTTTTTATCTTATGCAGGTAAATGACAAATAAGTTACCTGAGCCGTTATCTAAGATAAATAATTGTATAATCTAGATAAATCTTTTTCAATAGGAATTTATATATTTAATATAAGTAATATGTAAAACGTGTAGGTACCTAATTTGTGTATTCCTAAGTTAATCGCAAAACCTTTATGTGAAATCTAGGAGTGTATCAAATCGGATACATTTTTATCTGAATTAATGGTTGAGATACTTTGGTTTATGACAGTTAATGAATAAAATTATCTTTTTTTTTTAATCTAAATAAATTTTCGTGATTGTATATATATTTATCTGTATAATTTAATGTGATGTTTCTTTTAACTTCGTCTAAGTAGCTGTTTCTGGAACTATCTTATACCTTTATTTAGATATTTTAAAATTTATTTTTATGCAACATTGGTTATTGGTTAGACTGTTAGAAACTATATACTTAGAGAATAAAACAAGAAGTGGTACCATGCATAACATGCTATATAGTCAGTGTTCAAGACGCAACAAATTGTAAATCGTAGGATATTTAATTTATTAAATAATTACTTATATTATTCTTATTTAAGAAAATGATAAAATGACTCTTTTAAACAAGGTAATCTAATTAAGTGAGTATACTCATTATCGCAGAAAGTATTAACTTTTTCCGGAATTTGTTTTCTAGAACATTTAAGAAATAAGCTGCATTAGAATTTCATATTTATATTATTTTTGTAATCCTTATTTTTGGGGGTAAAACCACTACTTACTTTTGATTTTCAAATGACTAACTATATTAAAAATTCCATAAATAGATGGAGTATTAGTTAAAATAAATTCTAGTGTTGAAGTTTTTAATTTCCGTCAATCCATTGATGGGATAATATTCCACTTTTAAGTTTGAATTGGAGGAGTGTAGTGGTGCATTATTAACACGCCGCGTGCCGTACCGCCTAAAATGGTTTCGCCCGTTATGCCTCTATAAAATATCTCTAAAGGACGGTCACCTCTAAATATCGGCCACTATTTCCGATTCCTTTGGTGACCGTTATACGATGGAAGCTTTATTGTATAATTGATAAAAACCAAATCTGACAACGCCGCACGAAAAAAGGCAAGTAAAAACGTTCATAATCGTGTTCCCAAAAAACGTCCGCCTGCAATCGTGTCATTTGCAATCATATATCATTATCGCTAATAATTATAGATAAGTACTAATTGAGGCTAATTTTTTTATTATGAGCCGTGGGACAATTCTCAAGTTAACAATAAATTGTATAAATAAATGTATTTCAAAAATATAATCACACCTATACCTATTTATATGAGTTGAACATATATTGTAACATTTTTTGATTATAACTTATAAGATCTATGATTGTATCTTTGATAACAACAGGAAACCGATCACCGAATAAATTCTGATTTAAACGTTTTAATGTTTTATCATCGTTTCTAACCTAACTTACCTACGCTAATTGGGTATATATATATATATAATTATTCAAAATTGTATTATAATATACTCGCCTCTTTCAGACCGACGACGCCGACCAGACGTCCTATGGCCGTGACGTAGGCGTGATTGACACCGACCAGCGAGAACACCGAGTGAACCTTGAGTAATGACGTCCTCTCTACCAGCTGGAACGGTGCCGGATCGATGTGACATGAGTCGAATTCCAGTATCTTGTCCATTTGCTTTTGTTCCCAGTCGTTTTGTTCCTCTGGCGACATGTCTATGATTCTCTCTCTAGGCTAATACGACACGGACCATTTATATACTGTTCTATTAGGTATTTTAATTTGTAATATGATTTTTTCTTTAAAAAATAGCATTAACTTGCTCAGCCTTGAAAATGAAGCATGATAGGATATATATTATATAGAGTAATTTAATTTGTACATAATGAAAGCTACGGTATATTATTGGAAAAAATGATCTTAAAAGTCTAACTTTTAAGTGCAAAACTCCATATAGAAATAATTTCAATTATTGCAATTTTAAAATTAAATTTCGAAGTATTGTTTTTCATTCTATGGTCAAAATTGCATAACTCTGTTAGTGTAGGAACCAAGGATTTTATCCAAAAATAGCTTAAGGTAATTTATAATTGGTTTTTAAATTTAAAAAAGATACGGATATACTTCGCACGATGGATGGATCACTGCTGTAGGTGAGAAGTTGGAAAGGTATATAGAGAGGAAATTCAATGTATATCTAATGTACGCAACGATTAACCATTGCTAATGAAAAACGATGCTGAGCGGAGTTTTGTTAATAGTATTGCTTTGTAATATTTACAAATTAGGCTGTATAATATTTACGAATTTCATCAAAATTTGATGTTAAAGTATGACTTTTAATGAACCTCCCGTATTAATTTTATAGAATTTCTGTTTGGTCTTACAATAAATAAATATTATAAATAATATAATAATAATTTATATTAATATAAATAAATAAATTGGTACCTACAAAACAAAAATTACGTAAAATTAAAATGTCTATAATGTCTCTACAAATATTTTTAACTGAATCAAAACAAAACCAAACAAAAAATTGAAAACTTAATACATTTCGTAAATCTTCCCGTTTTTCCTAAGTTTTTTCTTGGTTTTTCCTATTTATTATGAAAACAGTTGGAAAAATCAACAATTATCTCTTTAAAATATCAGTCAGATTTCCTTTTAGAAAAAGTGCTATACTCAAAAATCCGTGTAAAATTGTAGGTAGAAAAGTTGTTCTTAGATAAAAATAAATAAATATAAATAAATAAACATCATAGTAAAACCAATACATTCCTCTCTCCGCTCAGAATCTATAAACTACTCTCTAGTACTATACATCTATACTTAGAAAGAGATGAAATACCAATTCCCATTATCTACTCTGTCACTACCAGAAATCCAAATGATCATACCAGTTGAACTTTTTTGTACACTTGTACGTTCTGCGTTGAACAGCTCTTGTCCTGCAGATCACACACGTCCGTCAAGCTTTGCTGTTCCGGGTTGGCGTCTCGCAATGTGGCTGATTTATGAAAAATGGCTTCGAACGCCAGTCTTATGCTGAAACGTGATACAGATTCATTAACTTAAGTCGAATAATGTTTCATAATACAAGTAATATATTTTATAATATTACGCGACGGCGGCGGTGGTGTATTGGAGAAATTATTTTAATGGGGCGATATAGGGTTTTGAATTGTATTTATTGTTATTCGATTTGGTTCCAATGTACCATGTACTATATGTAGATAGTACTTAATCGGACAAGCCACTAAGTTTTTATTTTGTTAACGTAATATGCGTACCCTCACTCGTACCAGGGGCATCATTTGGGAGGAGCAAGGTGTGCGGTTGCACCCTTTACTTTTAAAATAGTCCCTGTTAGCCTGCTTAAATAATGCACCGTTTTTTATATAATTAAAATTAAATTATATTTTTATATTAAAAATATTGGTATTTTACTGTCAATAAACCTGTGTGTAATTGAGTAAACAATGAATCTATCGTGTATTTTATGATCTACCAGACATACCTGATACCTACAGAATATAGATAGAAATAAGGAACTTATTCACAGTCAAAAGTTGGATAACTTTGCGATTAAACGATTAAGGGTTGCTATTAAAGAGACATTGAACTTTACTAATTACAATCGCAAAAACGAAGGATTTTTTCATTACTTAAAAATGTAAAATTATATTTACGCACTTTCATGGTCGATGATTAAAGGCTAAATGATCTTATGCAGCTAAATATTGAAAATGAAGAAGTAAATAATATTAATTTAGAAAAAACTGTATATGAATTTGCTAGACTTAAAAATTGCCAGTACCTATATTCTCTTATATAAATATAATTCATTTGTTTTTATTGGAGCGTTTATTCGTGCAAAAGTTACATATAATAATATACATATATTGTGTGCTTTTATTTTTTTTATTGTGCAATATTTCTCATCTTCAATATTTTATATTTGAGTGCATTAATCATTGGTTTTCACAGGCAAAGTATAAATTATTTATTATTTTTTAGACTTTAAATAGCTTTTTACTATTTACGTTTATTGCGATTCATAATCTACTGAGACAATTAAAATCACGATAAAATACATAGGTATCTAATACAAATATATGCATATTTTTATGGGTGAAATATTTATAATGACCCGCTTGACACCTCGCACACCTCTAAAAAATACTGAAATAACACACCTTGCCCGTACCCTTGAATACACCATCACTGCAGAATTATTGCAATAATAATATAGTCATATATGAGGACGTTATATTATAGGTAATTTGTATATAATATGTGTATAATTATTAGCGCTTTGGTTAATTTTTCAGAATTTAAAAACGACACTCACGGCCGAAATATGTATTTAATGGAGTATAATGCCTACATTTTCAAGACTTTTCCTGTAAAATACATTTTTTGACACAAAAATAAGCGTTTTAAGTACTATATTTTGCTTTTGTACAATAACTTTATTATTTTATAATATTTTACAAAAACATAACGTCCTCTCTGTTCGGTTTTTGCTGTCACTTACCGACTCTCGGCTCCGGTAATCGTTGAATATGGCGTTGCCGACGGAGACATCATCGGCGTCAAATTGTGCAGTGTAAACGAATGAGTCTTTTTTAAAATCGACTTTTTTGGATGTCCCTTTTGCAGTGATGGGTACTGTTGTACCTGTGAACGTCGTATTTTAAGTGATTAAATAAATGTCAAATAACTTAAATGGTTGAAACCGTAAAATTTAAAAGTATTTATTTTTATTCCGGTGGTCGTTTCTTTTTCTCTTATATTAGTTCAAGTAAAACCATGCATTTGGGTGAACCTAACACTATGGAATATGTGTATTCATCTATTTATTATAATAATTAATCATCACTAAAGTTTTGGCAAGTACTTCTAAAACATTAACACTTCCGTCAAATCAATTTTAGATTCAGTTTTTTTTTCTAGTAAATTCAGATGTGTATTGTGTTTGTGTTTATGAAATTACGAGTTTTTTTACACAAAAACTTTAACAACTAATTATATATAATTGTAAGTCTTTAGTATAATCTTTATCTTAAGCAAGTAATTTTATGAAAATTTGGACTCAACAACTTTTTATTCCAAAAAATAATAAAATTTAAACAGAATAGGTTTTTTTTTTAGTTTTTTTTTTCCAATTATCTCGAAAATTAAAATATTGAAGAAAAAAATGTATAATTCTATCATCAAAAATTTGCAGAATACAAATTCTATTCAATCCATAATTTAATAAGAAAAAAAATATGAATTTATATATTAAATGAGATTATTTATTATAATCAAAAATTGAATGACACGAAAAATTGTTTTTTTAAACTTTTATTTCTATACGAGTTTAGGTAATTTAGATCGGAGGAGAACGTCTAGAAAAAGCAACCATACATTTTGTATCAGAATTTCAAATTTCTGTGAATGTTTTAACTGAATTTCAACAAAAAAAAATAAAAATTTATAAAAATATAAGCATTATTTTCGTAAATTTCCCCGTTCATTCTACGTTATTTTTAGGTTTTATTCGAAAATTTATTTTTCGGTTAAAAAAATCACACGGAAAATAAAAAAAAAACATTTTTTCACTTACTAACTAGATTGAAAACTCAATAACTATAGTCTATTGTGGTTTTTTTTAACAGAGCATTATTTCTGGTAGAAACATAACGTGTGAACATTAAAAATAATGTGATCGAAACGCCATAAATTTGTCAGTTTTCATTTTACGTTTTTTTCCGGGTTTTCCTAATTATTATGAAAATACAAGAAAAATCATCTCTCTAATATATCAAATACATACAATTTCTTTTCAGAAAATGTTCTACGTTCTATGATCTATACCTTGGGGCAAGATTTCATTTTGAAAAGTTGTTTACAATACATACACAAAGAAAAACTACAAAAATACAAAAGAAAAAAGAACTGATACCGGGGACGGGTGTGGCCAATATTGTAGGTATTTGGGAAGGTAGAACACATAAAGTTATTTACCTATAACCAACAATAAATATCATTGATAACGAAAAACAATTCGGAATGAATTTTGGTTAAACAACTTTTTAAAGGCCGTAATATTTACGATTTTCGTCAAAATTTGATTTTAAAACTTACAAAAAAAATAATAATACATTAAACTAAATTAAGACTTATAATAAACATCCTATCAAATTTTCAAGCATTTCTAATAAGCCCAACAATTTATCTGCAGCGTACATACCAAATAGAATTACTTAAAAGCTCGCAAAATTAAAATGTCTATAAATATCTCAAAAATAACTAAAATATTTTTAAAATTAAACCACATTTAGAAAATGTAAGTATTCATTATCAGTCAAAATATAAAATCCCTACGAATATTTTAACTTTAATGACAACGAAAAGACCAACTTAAAAATAATAAAAGTATTATTTTTGCAAAATTTTCCGTTTTTTCTACGTTTTTTTTTTCGGTATTGCTCAATTATTAAAAAAACTACAAAGAAAGTCAAAAAATTACTGTATTGGTCACCATATATATTAAAAGTTCAACAAAGAAGATCATTATAATCTTTATCCTAACTAAGTGAACAAAATATAATTTTAATAACGTACAATTTATCTTTGATTAACATAATAATTTCAAAATTTCGGTAAATATTCCCGGATAATATAATTATCCATGGCTTATTCGGGATTTTTTTTATGATGTGCTATTATTCTTACCTTAATTACTGGATTTGTCGAAAGCGACTGAGTACTTATTGATAATCTCCTCTGTAGGGTATCTGGAGCGGGCGTGACTTCGAACCTAGACGGTCGCCTTTCTTTATAATGTTCCCTTCGTTTTCTTTCTATTTCGTCCAATTTCTCTTGCGCTTCTTTTTGCCATTTAGCAACCACTTGCATCCGCCTTTCTTTACCTACTTGTCTGTCAATCAATTTTATCAGTTCGATTCGAGGGACCGAGCCTAGTAAAATCATCGAGTCTGAAATAAAATAATAAACCGCATTAAAATTTGTATTATTAATATTTCACGAAAAGCTTGTAAAATTAGCACATTAGAGTACAATTCAAGTCAATCGTTATATTTAGGATAAATTACTAAAACAAATATAATTTATTATTGTAATTATTAAATTATATTTTCTCATAATACTGTTTTCCTTTTCTGTCAGATTCGGAGCGAAGCGAGGAGTCTATTGGTTTTAGTGTTTTACTATTGTGTTTTTTTTTGTATTTTTTTTTTTTTCTGTATGTGAACAACTTTTCGAAAATAAATGTTGCTCCGATGTATAGAATATAGTACATTTTTTGAAAGGAAATTTTGTTTTATTAGTGCATTAGAAATGTAATTTATTGATTTTTCAAGGTGTTTTCGAAATAATTGGGAAAAAACCGAAAGAAAATTATAGGTAAAACGGCAAATATTTACGGCGATCCACGGTGTTGCCGTTTTCATTGTGTTATACTTATGTTTTCTACCACAAATATTACTCCAATGGATAAATGACACGAGATCTTTTTTATTTCATTTTTAATCTAGTTCATGAGTAAGGTTTTCATTTTATTTTATCTGAAGTTTTATAAATAACTCCGCATAACCGAAAAAAAACGTAGAAATAACGGGACATTTTACGAAAACAATGTTTTTATTATTTTCAATTTTGTTTTTGTTGTAAATCAGGTTAACATATTTATAAAGACATGAAATTTTGAGCTATTTAAAGACATTTTGATTTGCGAGTTTTTTTTACGTAATTTTTTTTTAAGTAGATACTCAGTAGATGAATTGTTAGACTTAACAGAAATACTCAAAAATTTGACAGAAGGTACATTATAAGCAAGTCGTACCTAGTGATTAAGAAACAGAAATTTAGTTTAATGCAGTACTTTTTTTTTTATATATATAAGTTTTAAAATCATATTTTGACGAAAATCGTAAATATTATGACCTTACAAAACATGTATAACTGAACTTCGCTCCGAATCGTTCTTCGTTATCAATGTTTTAACGTTAGTTACAAGTATAAATAAAATAACTTTATGTATCTTATCTTCCCCACTACCCACAACAGTGGCTACACCCGTCTCCAGTGTCAGCTCTTTTTTTAAAATTATTTTTAATTTTACCGATACGAGGTATTTACTCAATGGTGAATTGGGCCAAATTTAATATAATAATTATTTTAACTTGTATAATTATAAATATATTAATATTAATCTATCATTGTTAGTTTTAATACTATTTATATTTTAACGCCACTATTGTTTTTTAATTATTATTAGATTGGTATATTATGTAATAATGTAATATATATATATTTTTAATGTACAAATTGTTTTTCTCGGCTAATCAAATATTATCTTATCTTATCTTACCCGGTTTATCAACTAGAGGAAAAACTCTTAGAACTTTGTTTTCTCGAAGAACCCTTTTTAAGTCTCTGTAACTCATATTATACCAAATGTACTTGACGTCTCTGACCATGAAATCTTCTACGTACACGTTGTAAATACCTAAACGTACACTAAGTATTATACATTTTTACAATTCAGTATGATGTTTTTCGTTAATCAAATAATATAAATATTATACCCGAGCTAGACGGGAGAAGATCCGGCAAGTAGGGGAGATTCTTTATTAGTATTATACTGTCATAAAGCGATGGTTGTAGTAACACTGCCACCGCGTTTGATATTAATACAGCAATCTACAATAAATTATAAATACAACATATTTGTAGGAACTGCAGTATATTTAATAGATAATAAAGATAAATACAAAGAAAATATAAAAATACGATACCATGACAGGTATAATATGAGTGATCTGGCCTGTCATTTCGAAAGCTATCACAGACACTGATATGGAATGTGTGACAGCTCCTGCAAAAGCGGCTGCTCCGACTACGGCATAACCTCCTGGATTTACACGAAAAAAAAAATTACCGAATTATATAGCAATCGCCTAATTATAGTTTTCCAATTGGTTTTAAATTTATTATTTTTACCTGGTATGATGGGCGTGATGAATTTCCCATGCCTAACACCTAACGGGAACCAATAGTGCATAAGTTCGCCAACGATACGACCAAATGCGGCTCCAGTTTTGAACACAGGAATGAAACTACCAGATGGTATTGGAATGGTTGATGCAATTATGGAAAATACAAACTGAAAATAAACTTGAATTATAGGAGAAAGACAATTACTTGTCAGTAAGTTTAGTCGTTTTGTTTTATTATTACCGTATAAACTATGTAAGCCGATAGACATATGAAAACGTTACTGTTTTCCGTTCGCCAATGGTTCATCATTTCTGCTTCTTCTATGGTAAACTCATCTTTTGTCCACGTGAAATTACTAAATAGCCCAGTTAACTTGAACAAAATGACACGGAATTTAGCCGATATTATATAAATATTGTTTATTATTATTTAATGTCACTCTCACTTGATCGTGTACGTTTAACTCTCCGGCAATATATTTACCAGTGCCCGGAGGGAATGTTAACGTCAATGTGAGAAACGTGATCAAACTGGGATACAAAAATCGGCTATATTATAACGTAAAACACAGTTAAAGATCAGTTATAAATTATTTCCCAGCTTTGAGTGTCAACAAAATTGATCGAGTGATACTCACTTACTTCTTTTGTAGGAACGAATTAATTCTTTTACTTTGTCTCATAAACAATACATATTGTCTGTGGGCCCACACATAACCTGCTCCAAGAATACCACAAGCAACCCTAAAACCGGTATAGTTATTTAATTTATTATATTATACGTACAATATTATATTATAGTATAAGGAATGATTCGCCGTGACTGCAGCTGTTACTCACCCGAGTAGAGCAAACACCGTCAATTCTTGCGGATCAAACGGGTATTCCATGGTGAAATGAGTAGGAAAAAAAGCCTTTACCGTATCTAAAATATGACAAAAATTATATACACATATTCAAACATTTTATTATAATATTAGATGCTTAATATGAATTTTTGAAGAAACCAGAAATCTAGTTTTCACCATATCTATAAAAACGAGAAAATGCATTTGGATACATGGACTTAGTCATAACAGTATTAGCTCAATATTGGATTGGTTGGATAATAAAAGATATCGATTGTAAATAAAAAAATGAAAGTGTAGAACTGTAGAAGCTCGCAGAGCGTAGAATTACTGTCAACCATTCTTTGGGTGTAGAAGAAGATGAATAGGATTATATTAATGTATACAAACCTGCCTTGTTGAACCAGACAGCCAGTAATCGAAAAACAGTTGCACTGCAGACGGCTGAAAAGAAACCTCTCCAGTAATTTCTCACAGCAAAGTACACGGTGGTTACTTCGATGCTGAACAGAACGCCGCCGATCGGAGCGCCGAAACAACTTGCCACGCCGACCGCACAAGCCGCTGCCAACATTTCCGTATTTCTCGATTCGTTCTCGTAGATTCCTTTGAACGAGGTGATCATTTTTGTCAGAAGCGTGGCTGTTATGCTGGCAATGTGCACAAACGGACCCTGGAAAATATGTTTTCAAATTAATATTTTGTATTTCGGCACTAGTACATTATCTAAGTTAGGCGCGTACCCAGAAAATGTTGCCCAGGGAGGGCTAAGTAGCTTTTCTTTTATAAATACCTATATTACCGTTATAAAGTCCTAGAATTGAAGTTACTTTTATTTAAATCATTATTTCTTAGAAATTTCGAGAGAAGAGGCTATAGTCCCCTCGGCTACTCCAAAAAATACGCCATAACCGTGATATATATAGGAACACTGACCTCTTTGCCTAGTGGTAGCCCAGAACCCAAAGTAGCCGTGACACCTATTACTTTGGCGATTAAAGTCCTCAGCGTCAAGAATTCTTTTAGCGCGACGCCTCTTAAGATCGTTTTCATCTCCGGTATTCCCGAACCTATGAAAAATAATATACAGATCGAAATTTTTATAAGATTTTGTTAAACTCTTCTGGAAAACTAATGATTAAAACGTACCTATCGATTGAGGTGCAACCAAGTGCACGAATCCGGCCGCGAACGTTATTAAGCTGACGGGTAACAGCACCCATGAAATGTACTGCAAATACTGATTGAACATCATATCTTTGAACAGCCATATTCTTCCTACAGAACACAATATGATAATATAACACAATTATTATAAATCATTTAACACAGTGTAATCTTGTCTTATAGATTCTGAGCAGTGGTAATAATATATTACCACTAATTAATTATTACCACTATTAATAATATATTGATTTTACAATGATGTTGTGAACAATTTTCCTACTAGCAATAATTTTGCTCCGATTTACAATAATAGAACTTTTTCTGAAAAAAAATCTAACTAGGGTTGTACTTTAAGGAGGACATATTTTGATTTTTCCAGGAGATTTTTCAATAAATGGAAAAAACGAAAAATAGATACAATATTAAACAAATTTTATTAAAGAAAATATATAATGCATATGTAATTATTTTATTATAGTTTGACATAATATATATTGTTGACAAAGCAACACTATTAACCAAACTTCGCTCAGAATTATTTTTCGTTAGCAATCATTAATCATTGCATACATTATTAGTCATTATAAATAATATAAGTGCCGTTTAATATATTATAATTATTACGGCAACTAAGCATAAATTAATAAAAGAAACATATGTTTTATCTATATCTCTATATTTATTTAAAATGTTATTTAAATAAAGAAATACATAATATATTTATGTATTAGTATACTTTATACGAGTATACAATAAATAAACATTTTTTGGTTTTACAAACATAAGTATTGGGTTATTAATACTATTAAAATATTTTAACATTACCAAATACTATGGACTGGTTTATTATATCGAACCCAACGAAATCAATATATTTTATAACTACCATTATTAGTACTATATGAATATTTAAGCTGATTGAAAGTTGCTAAAAATGTGTTTTGTGAAAATTATACAAAAATCTTGTTCCTACATCTGTTCCTAATCCCATGAGTTTAAATTTTAAAATAATAATATTCTAATTTGAATACAATTTGCTAGATATACTCGTATTATAGTAAGCTGTGGGTTAGGGACGGGAATCGGGATCAACATTTAGGACTCAAGTTTATTCAGTTTCGTCGACTTAAGTATGCAAAAAACATGAGTGCTTTAGGTTTTTAGGACATATTACTCGTCGGGTTTCACAATAGACTTTATAATATTTAGTAAAGTATTTTACTGACCTTCGTTAGTGAAGTCTATACCGTAGTCCATGAAGAAACTGAGTACGGCCATGACCAAACCCAAAAGTGTGAGAAATACCCAGTCTTCGCTGAGTTTGGCGAACGAATGGCGCCATACTACTTCCAAAGTCGAACTGATTTTCCCGCCGTACTTGGTGAAGTCTTCGTTAACATTGCCGTGTATGACGGGCGTTTGAACGTTTTGTGTTCCTTTGACGTAATCTCCCAATTCTTTTGTGTAACGTCCGTACATCTGATCCATAATAATAATAAAAAAAAAAAAAAATAGAAAAAATACCGCTTTATTAATACTTTTATGATATTATTGAACCATCGTCGTCTCTTGCGCACAGAATAGACGACGGCGAGAATATATGTTATGTATTCGTTAAATCGCGTCGACTTTAAATATCACACTAAATTACCTATATTAAATTATGGATCTATGCCGGTGGATTTGAGATTATTTTATTCAGTTGTTGTGTAGCGTGCGAATTATCGAAGTTCACTGGGTCGTATGTGACTGAAAATCGCGAAACTCAAAGAAATTAACATACGAACTGCTGTACAGGTCTTATACAGTCGCGTGTCGTATTATCAAGAAAGAAAAAGATGTAATAATAAATGTTTATAATATAAACAGTGCTAATAAACAAGAGAACGACGATAGGTGAAGAAAAAAGGTGAACTCTGCACTCTTTATCATTACTTTATAGCATTTACTTTATATCGATTACTATATTAATATAGTCAATATAGATTATGTTACTAATAACGTGTGTATTTGATAATACATTTACCTTAATTATGCATATCCCATGTTTATTGCATTAAAAACCGATAAAGTCTATTTATATAAACTAATACTTTTTGTATTCACCAAATATAAACTTAATGAATTCCATATAAAAAACTGAATAAAAAAATCATTCAATTAAATCTCGATTAAAAACATAAACCAGCACAAATTGCAAAACAGTGAGTATATTATAATGTTTTAATTATTATGAAATTAGTTCAAAAGTCAATGAAAAATAATATTTAAAACACTGAATAAAAAATATTGTTACGTGTTTAGTATATATGTAATAAATACCTTTATTCGTATTTAGTATGTCACACTATTATAAACATTTGTGTTAGTTTAAATATTTTGGTTTTATAAACTTAGACCTTCATATTTTTCATAAAAATGCTGGGTTGAAACTTTACTGAACCGATAGCTACCAATCGATTCTGTAAAATAAATAAATGCTATCAAACACAGTTATCGAATCGATAATAGTAGATGAACTGATTTTAATTCTGTGAAATTTGCAGCTGTTTACTGCTTTAATTATTTATAATGTACCTTGTGTTAAATTTTCAAGTATTTCTCTTAAGTCATATAATTTTAGTAACAGATAACTACCAAATAAAAATATATATAAAAATATCAAATGCCTATAAATTGCCTATAATTTTCTTTCAGTTTTTCCCAATTATTTCGAAAGCCCTTTGGAAAATCAAAAAATTACTTCTTTAACACCCCAACTAAACAAAATTTCCTTTCAGAAAATATACTATACTCTATACATCGGAACAAGATTTCTTTCTGTAAAAAAAAGACAGAAAAAAAAGCACACATAGTAAACCGATTATTTATATAATATATAATGTAGGGTGATCAATAAACATAAAACACTCAAGATACAAGATTAACTTTTTTTGGAATTTGAGAAAAAAATCATTAAAAAAATAAGTAGATACCTAGCTCCAAAATGTTATATTACTCTTGTTCTTGTCATCCTTATTTTAGAGGGTTAAACAAATACATGCTTTTGATTTTTAAACAGTAATCTATGTTAAAAACCCCGAAAATAGATGGAGTATTAATCCAAATCAATTATAGTATTGCAATTTTTAATTTCCGTCAATCCGTTAACGGAATATTCCTCTATTAAGAATCAGCGGGGGGGAGGGGAGAGTTGTGGAGCATTATTTTTGTTTCGATACGGCACGCGGCGTTGTAATAGTGTTCCGCCACTCTCCCCCCAACCTAAACTTATAAAAGTATAATATCTCATCAATGGATTGACGAAAATCAATAACGCCAATACCAAAATGTATTTAAACTAATACTCCGTCTATTTATAGAATTTTTAGTATAGGTTGTTATTTGAACATCAAAAGTAGGTAGAAGTTTTACCGCTTAAAATACAGATGCAAAAATAATCAAAATGTAATATTTTACAGCTACTTATTTTTTAAATGTCTGAAAAACAAATTTTGAAAAAAATGAATACTTTTCGAAAAAATGAGTTTTTTACGTTATGTTGATTACCCTATTTATATATATAGTCATTACTTTGAGTTTTAATCCGTCTCAATGATCGGATTTTTACATTTTACAAATTATTGTGATAAAATTTTTATAACATAATATAATTGACAATTTATTTAAAAAATATATATTTTGTAATAAGAAATTGATTAGATTTGTCCGTTTATTTTTAATTTAATACCAAAAAATGTAACCTGAATAATCTAAGATGGTTTTAAAATGCTCAAACATTTTGTTAATTTCTGTAATTTTTCCGTTTGTCAATTTTAAAAAACACAAAATCATTTAAATAACATTAATTATTATAATTATCATTTACTATATTCTTAACAATTTACCTTCGTTCGTTTTACCATAAATAAGTAAATGCTAACTTTTGATTTTCATTTATCGACCCATCATAATTTTATATTCTTTCAAGTAAAAATTAAATTTTCAATATTCTAATGTTAAAAAAGTACGAACATATTTCACTGTTTTAGGTGAGAAGCTGGGATGGTAGAGGGGAAATTTAATGCATATCTGTATACGCAACGATTAAACATTGCTAACGAAAAACGATTCTGAGAGGAGTTTGGTTAATAGTGTTACTTCGTCAACAACATATTATATTATGTCAAACTATAGTAAAATAATTACATATGCATTATATTTATTTTTTTTAATAATATCCATTTAATATTATACCAATTTTCCCGTTATTCCTATATTTGTCCCCATGGTTTTATTCTGTAAAAAAAAATTTGTTAGGTTTTTAAATTAAAAACATGTTTTTCTCAGTTTGAAAAAAATTGTGGTTTTTCTGTTTTCTTCTCTGTACCTTTCATTTACAAATATGTTTAGTTTTTTCTATGTTTATTATTAATTGTATATCCGAACTGTGAATATTTTTCTGAAAATATTTTAAGCACATAGTAATCCAATTGTCCATTGAATAGTAATTATTATAGTCGATTAATATTAAATATTAATAAAAACACTAATACAAATTTGTATATACAATGTGTTTTATATTAAAAAGTAAATAAATATAGTAGATAAATGTATACATAAAAAAATAAATAAATGAATGAATGCGTCGCCTGCCTGTAACATCAAAAGGACAACAAAGCAAAACATTTTTTGTGTACTTCCAATAGTACTCAGGTCTCGTTAATTTGATTTTAGCGTCAATATAAACACAAGAAGCTTTAATAAATATTTATATAAAGCAGTTTTTTTTAAACTCATAATCTGCCGATTTGATATGATTTTTTATTTAAATATTTTAAAATCGATTTTAAAAGCTGTTCTATAGACATTTAGTACAACTTTTAATATTTATTTAGCAATAAAATCAATTGGTTTTATATAACCAACGAAGTCTGAGAACTATTGGAATTACAAAAACATGTTTTTGTTATATTCCCTATTACGAAACAGAAGATAAAATGCGCTACTTTTAAGAGGTTAATTTCTTTTGAGTACGTGCCTTATAAATGTTTTTAACTACGTTTAAATTTAATTCCTTTGAGTTGAAATCGTATATTAAACGTGATTAATATAATATTGCTTTTAAATTATTTCGTAATTTTTATGTGCAAATTTTTTTTTTATAGTATTTCAACACGATTATGCACTGGTTTTATCTATTTTTATTACAATATGTTTTTTTATTGTATCACAATGGAAAGTACAACTATACATCTATACATAACTATATGCAATAATATATTTATTCCAGAGTTTAGAAATTAATTTCCATATTTTCACACCTAAAACTATGGGTTTTGGTCAGTTAAAATTAAAAAATTATAAAACGAATTAAGAATAATTTCGGATATTAGCTCGACCATAAATTATAATATCCACCAAGACCGAATATTTTAATCCCTAATCTAATTTTATAATTAAAATTATTAATTTTGTTCGGGAATTTTATTATATTTAGGAATGCAAATTTTGTATTTATCATATCAGAATGCTCCGTAGACTAATAAGTTCTTCAAGTCAAGCACTGTTATCTAAGTTCGTGTACAATTTATTTTATGTATAGCGATCGGGTGTGCTCTTATAACGTTTCACTAATTGCTGATATAGCTATAATAGAATATTATTATTTTATAACAACTATAGGTACAGTGCACTTGTGAGCGAACTCAGTGAAATCTACAGAGATATGGATATTTCAAGTCGTCTCTCTCTCGTAGATAACAATAATCACAGACCAGCAATTACCTATACGAAGATTTTGAGTTAATTTGTTTTTTGGTTTTAATTTATTGGAACGGTTTAATGATCTTGTGTGATGATTACGATATACTATACGTATATATACGTTTACAAACATTATATTATAATATATATGAGATTGATTTTCTAACTCATTTTTTTTTTTAAATTCCGATTGGAAAAGAGAATACACATCACTCTTCTAAAAAAATTTGATATTATATGCGAAATACCATTATCGGATATAATATGTAATTCGAAAATCAGGCCGGAGGTATAAGAAACAATTGTTGTGGGGTATGTGAACATGGATATAATACTATTTATTACCCTCTCGACTCCTCTAGTCTACATTTTTTAAACAATAGTTGTTAAATCATTAAAAATCAAAGTTTTATAAGAAAGCTTTGCAAATGAAATTGTTTACTTTTTCGTTTGTGTAGTATCGAAAAAAAGATTATGATGTAACACTGTTTAGCATCATGTCTCTCTTCTGCGTCATCGGTTCGGCATGAGTGACGACCAGTCCAGTTTCTATTTTCGTGTGCAAGTGTGAGTGTGAATAAAACCAAACGATAAATGGTAATAAAATAATAAAGAGCTGATACTGGGGATGGGAGTGGCCACTGTTGTAGGTGAGAAGTTGAGAAGGTAAGATACATAAGGTTATTTCATTTATATCTGAAGCAATGATAAACCATTGCTTGACGAAAGACATTCCGAGCGCAGTTCGGTCATATATAATTTGAAGTGCCGTAATTATTATTTTTTTTAGATTTTTGTTTAAATTTGATTTCAAAAACTTATTAAAAAAAAAAGTCGTCCGATTATTTCAGAAATTTTATCACGTCTAAGTAAGTCCAATATAAGTATTATTACCAAGTTTAAAGTCTCTACGTGTATTTATAACCGAATTCATCAATCAAAAAATGACTTCTTTAAAGTACCATCTAGACAACTTGAGCTTCCAGAAAAGTTGCTATACGTAAAAATCGGAGCAAGTTTACTAAAAAAAACACAGCCTAGAACAAGAAAAAAAAAGAAAAAAGAAATAAACATCTTAGTAAAATCAATAACCAAATTCTAGTAAAAATCTAGAAAAGTTTAAAATAAGAGCGTTTTCAATATCACTGGGCAAAAAATTTGTATCTTTTTAGGTACAGTTGGAATAATTTAGAGCATTTTTATTAACCGGAAGGGTTTTCCAACAAAAAAACCAACAAAAGAATCTAGGTTTTTGAAATCATAATCAGCATAACCGTTTCTGCTGTGATGTATTTGTTGACCAGGTCATATTCCACATGGCGACGCGAAACTTATGTATATACTATTACAGATTATTAGAAAACACATATTATTATTATAAATAGAAAAGTACATTTAGAATTACAATAGACCTTACGATAACGGATTCGAATCTGAAACATTCCCATAATTGTATGGTAAATAATATTACATTACAGATTGCAGAAGAGTGCAGTTTTAACCAGTCCAGTGCATACCTATTATAAATGTCAGAAAAATAAAAGTAAAACACTATCAGATGTGTATACCGTCCAATAGTCACAGTTAATGATTATTATATAGAATTTGATTTCCCGAAGTAAACACTAAAGGTAGGTTAGGTTAAAACTCGAACTTTGAATTTGTATTTTTGTTTAACGTAAGTATAATAACCAGCAGTATATTGTAGGACATACTTGAGTATACGAAGTATATTTAATTCGTATTTGTCAATCATATTATGGAGTATACCTTTTTGAAAAATAGATCATACGCAGATACGAGCTTATACTGATTAATGATAACTGAATAATTTATTTTTATCATTGTTTTGCCCGTTGCAAAAAACATCTATTTAAAAAAAACTGTTTTCAGATAACTGATTGTTTTCAAATTGAATACATAAAATTATCATAGATAATGGAAAATGTATTTTTAATCTTTATTATCTATGAAAAATGACAATTATATTATAATACTCATATACAAATGTACGTCATATATTTAGTCCGTGCGCAGAATTATAATTGATAAGCCAATCTAACGGTATATTCTACCTGATCAATGGTTAATCGTCAATCGAAACGTTTGGTCGTTTGCACTAGGAGTTTGGGGTAAATATTATTATACAATATTATAAAATATCTATTTTAAGTTTTATAATTTCATTGTAAAATTATGAATAAGTTATATAATTTGTAGTTATAGGGTTAGTACCAGCCATCAGGTGATCCATTTAAATGGGTACACTCATTATCTCGGAAAGTATTAATTTTTTCCGGAATTTGTTTTCTAGAACATTTGAGAAACAATCTGCTCTACAATTTTATATGTATGCTATTTTTTATCACCCTTATTATTAGGGGTAAAACCTACCTACTTTTAATTTTTAAATGACAACCTAAATTAAAAATGCCATAAATAGATGGAGTATTAGTTAAAATAAATGTTGGTGTTGATATTTTTAATTTCCATCAATCCGTTGACGAGATATTCCACTTTTAAATTTGGGTTGGAGTAGAGTAATGATGCATTATTTACACGCCGCGCACCGTGCAGCCACAGAATCAAAAATGATACTCCACTACTCTTCTCCAACCCAAACTTAAAAGTGGATATCTTGCTAACGGATTTACGGAAATCAAAAATTTAAAGACTATAGTTAATGTGATATTTAGAAACAACTAAAATAATATGGCTAAAGTAAAACAAATTATGAAAAAAGTACATATTTTGGAATGCAGTCTAAAAATGATTAATATTTTCACATTTAGTGCGTAGCAAGAACCTTTTTTTGATCATAATATATCATTTAAAAGTTTATATACGCAAAAATTAATTTTCCAAAACACCACTGATAAAAACTATTATTATAAATTGTATTTTTAAGAATACTATTACTCTTTTAGTTAAGTATAACAGATGGGGGAGTTAATGTGAAATTTGACTTTCAGAAAAATAATTTGTAATATTATTTTTTTAATGTTTGTATCAATTTTATTATTGTATGTGTATTAGCCGACTTACTGTACTCTGGACAAAGTCGACGGGCGGCGGGCTCGGATAAAATGAAGCCAACGCTTTGGTTTCGCGTTCCAGATCGTCCTCGCCCAGAGCGGATTTCCGTCTCTTCATTGAGGGCGAGGAAATTTTCGCAGTTTTTCCCACAGTCATGTTTGGTGTCTAGTTTATATATATATATATAAATATTTTTTTTTATTTTTTACTAAAATGTTTTTCAATTTTATAAGTATCACGGAAAAAAATAATCGTTCGACGTCGCGCAGTGTCCACGGACCGTACGCGACTAGATAACAATATTATATTTGGCAATCGTACGTACAATATTAACGACGCGGCGTGAACACAAAAAAAAAAAAACCCCCGAGTACAAATTGAATAATCACCTTAAATTGGACTATACACTGAGCCAATGAACGACGAAACCTACGTCCGTTATACGTAGGTATACTTTATTAGATAAGCCGTATGAAAAATAAAAAAAAATAAACGGTCCAGCGTACTCGTATATTATGTTGTTATTGTTATACGATATTAAAAAAGCCGTCTACAAACGTCTTCGATAATAATAATATTGCGAGTCGTTTTAACGCACGGAGCATCGCACAATACTGTATACACTCTCGTATACTGCAGTGACTTAAGCGGTTGTTAAGAGTTTATTATAATTTATTTTCAAATAACTGTTGTAGGTATAATATTATTATGGTTTTTTTTTTTTTTATTATTTGTTTTATTTTTATCTTTTCGTTAATTATATTGATACCTACAACAATGCGGTATGATATATCATTTTATTTGGAGTATATACAATAATTAATGTTAAATTTGGTTAAATCTCCAACAGAACACGTGAATTTTAATCGCACGCAACATATATTATATCGACCGTACACAACACAAAAATAAACAAATTTTTTAATTGCACTTATATTAATAAATATATTAATTTATTAGCACCTTACATAATACAATATTAATATTATATTCATAGGCACTTGAAAGTACCTACAGGAAAAAATACCATCACAATATATTTGATTTTATTTCATAATATGCATTTATTTATCAATTGTTGCGTTACATTATGGAAAACTACAAACACACGATGTGTGACGTATTTAGGTTTTTGCCAAGAAGGAAGATGTTAAATTTGGAAAAATTGTATCATATATTATATTATATAACGTGTTGTAACTAGGCTAAAAGCAAAAAGAAAAATAAGATCTGACCGAAATTCGGATAAATGTGTTTTAAAACGCTGTAGTTTTTACGATTTCCTTTAAATTTTGAACTTAAAACTTGTTCAAAAATAGACGTCCTAGGATAATGGGGTCAGGTGTAGTCACTGTTATAGACAATTTAATGTATATCTGTAAGCAAAAATAAACTATTCCTAATGAAATAATGATTCTGAGCGCAGTTCAGTTGATAGTGTTGCTTTATCAACAATAAATATGTCAATATGTCATATTATGGTAAAATAATTAAATAGGCATTATACATTTTCTTTAATAATATTTGTTTAATATTGAACCGATTTTCCTGTTTTTACTGCGTTTTTCCCATGTATTCCCGGTTTTTCACATTTGCTGGGAAAACTCTTAGAAAAATCGAAAAATGATCTCTCTAAAGTACTTCCTCAGTCTTATTTCTTTTTAGAAAAACTGCTATCATTGTAAATCAGATCAAAATTACTGGATGAAAAGTTGTCTACAGAAAAATAAAACCGTAATATTTTACTAATGTATTTTGTACATTTTCCCGTTTTTTGGGGAACTCCTGAGAAAATCAAAAATTTATCTTCCCAAAGTACACTCCAGTCATATTTCTTTTCAGAAAAAGTGCTATCATTGTAAATCAGAGCAAAATTATAGGTAGAAAAGTTGTTCACAGAAAAAAAATAAACATCACTGTAAAACCAATACATTCCTCGCTCTAGTCAGAATCTAAAATGTAAAGGCCTGAAATACTTATATTAGCCTTTTCTAGACGTGATAAAATGTTAAAACATTTTGGTAATTTTTGAGCTATTTATAGGTATTTTAAGTTCAAATTTTGACGAAAATCATTAAAATTACGACATTTCAAACATGTATGTTTAACCGAACTCGGAATCGTTTTTCGTTAGCAATAGCTTATCGATTTGTACATATATAAATTAAATAACTTTATGAATCCCATTTTTCCGACATTCCAGCAACAGCAATTCCCAGCTTTTTCGCAATAATTTTTGTAAGTAATTTAAATTTAAACTAATAACAATTAAAAGTTTAAACTACGTTTATTATTGACATAAATAACTATTGGTATTAGTAATTGATATAGGTTTATTTAATATTCTAACCTCTTAATAACTATGGGTAGCTATTAGAAATTATTATTATTATTTAATGTACTATTTTAATCTTCATATTATAGTAGTTCGAATAGGTTTAGTTTTTAACAAGAGAATGTATACCTTCTATATGTTTTTTTCTTCATATATTAACTTGTTACCTACACGTTTTTGATTTTTGATTATCTAAAATGTAAAACTATTTTAATTAATAAAAGAAGTAGTTATATTAATAATAAATACTTAAGAAAAAGGTAAAGGGGGAGATATATCTGCCTAATCTCTCTTCTTAAATACGCTATTGAAACACTGAATTGTGTTATTTAAATAAATTTTGCTTTTTAAAAAGTGCACACTGTAAGGTGAAGTGCACTTCCCGCTCAACCTCTTTTTCGTGCAATTTCCATCAGTCATGGTAATTTTACCAGCTGAAATTATACAAGGTAAACTATTCGCTCAAAATTTACTATTAAAAATTAATGAATAATTAATTTATTAAAATATTGTATTATGTGTAGGTAATTATAAATTTATTATTATAACTTAATACTTAACTTACGAATTATACATGTTTTATAATAGTCAAGTATAATTTAATTTTTAACAAACGATAAATTTAATAAACATTTTTTTAAAGTTTTGTCTTTTTCGAAATTTTAATTTATTGTTTTGATACGTTGATAGAAATGTATATACATTTTTTTTATTTTATTTGCACGTAGGTACTCAAAGATTAAGCCTTACATTAATGAATTCGATTTATTGTATTAATTATATGATGGAAATCCATATGTATACAATTACATGAAATTTATAATTATATAAAGCTATCATTTATCGTTTGTTCAGAAATCAGAATCAAAACTATAATAATTTAAAAGTTTATACCATTTATATAATTTTAAATTTTAAGCGAATTGTCTGCCTTATTATATATTATTTCAGCAGCTAAAAATTACGATAACGGGCGGAAATAGCACGAAAAAGAGGTTGAGCGGAAAGTGCACGGCGCCAACTGTAATAATAAATAATAATAATATAATGTCCCAAATTGTATGTAGGTATAACTATTTATATAAGTGTATTGAACTGAGTAAGCATTTAAGTTTAATATACCATAATGTAATATTATTGTGTCAAAATTTAATTTTCTCCATTTAAAAATGATACATTGCTCAATTGTTGTTAATAATATTATTACATTGTGTAACACTAAATCTACGAATATAACGTAATTTGATTTTAATTTAGCTATAGGAAAAATCAATAAACTGTGTTTATCAATAAAAAAAATATATATATATTCGAGTATAGATATACTAAATCAAATAGTCATCATCAGACTTAGGTGTTACGACCAATCCTTGAATGTCAAAATGTCTATGTTAACTCTGGTACAAAGAAACTACCAAATTCTTTATTTGGCTTTGATGTTCACCAGAGCCTACGATTAATAATTAAAAAAAAATTATAAATTGTATTGTTTAAAAACCAGCAAAAAACAAATTTGACTCGTTTAGAAATCGTTACGGATGAAGAAAAAACGGTTTATTGAGGTATTAAAACGTGTATTATAATAATATAATAAAATAAAAACAAAATTATTAAAATGGTTAATACTCGTAAATAAATAAAGTAAATAAATATATAAATATAAAATGTATACATAAAAATAAAAAAAAAAAAATGAATCAATGCGTCACCTGAAGTATTATTATAATATTATTGTCCCCTAGCTACCGAGAATTTTAATAATCTCGGTATAAAACTAGGTATTAAATATTATATTTGGAAATTTTTTTTTATTTTTGTGATTTTAGTGTAATGTGTTAAAAAGCCCGGAAACAGATTTTCTCGGCTTTTCCGGATTATAACGGTCCAAATTAAAGTTTAGAGGTGGTATAGTGGAGAATATTTTATCCCGGAGCAAAACAAAGAAGAATACAATTAATACCAATTTTGTATTACATCACTAGGTTATTAATATTTATACCGGTGTAATATTATAGACAAAAAACGAGTACGTTCTCTCAAAAACAGTCGAATTCCAACTCTATCAACAGATTTACTAAATAACTGATAACTCACTGATAATTCAATAAATCTCTAAATATTGATAAATATTCTTCACATTTTCACTAACCAAAAACGGTTTTTTGTAAAAAAATTAATTACATGCATTAATGCATAATAATAGTTCTTATATCTATATGTTCTGCTAAGAATCCAAAATATTATGTGATAAGTTGTAACAGAGTTTTAGAAACAATACTTATAGCAGTATAGCATATTATATTATAGAATTTCATCAAGTACTTACATAAATTACATATATGTTTATATAAATGCATTTGAATAAATCAAGGCGCGTAATATTATTTTAACGTAATATTTTCTTTGTAGACGAATAGTAATTTTAAAGAAATAATCAATTTTGTTTAAATATTATTAAAGATTTATTTTGAATACATCAATCATCGCAAATTTTGCTCGAGATTTGTACAAATAAACGATACATTGCATCTTAAACGAATATCTGTTTGACTATTTCAACTATAGTACTATACAGTACAAAATATAGTGACTACTAAGAAAGAAATGTCGGGAAATTATAAAATAGAATGACACATTTTTTTCATTTAAAGCGAGGTGTGTTTGAAACAAACAAGGGATTGTTATGACTAGCCAAGAAAAAAATTCGGAGGGGCACTAATAATTTTTATTAAAACTTATTATTTTTTTAGAACAATAAATACACCAAAATAACTAAAATAACCAAAAACAAAAAAAAAATTGGGGTGCTCCCTAGCTCCCCCAATGCTCCCTAGCTACAGTATTAGTTATGATTTATTTTGGTGAGTAGGTAAAAACAGTGTGTAGCTAGGACGAAACAGAAACATAAAAAGAGGGATATTAATACTTTATGGGCTTCGTGTATTATTTGGTAGTTATTAAAAAACGGACACAGGACATACTTCGCATGATGAGTGGGTCACTATTGTAGGGGAGAAGTTTGGAAGGAAGAGGATAAATTTAATGTATATCTGTACGCAATGATTAATAATTACTATCGCAAAACGATTTTGAGCGGAGTTTGGTTGTACTTGTTTTAAAAGGCCATAATATTTACGATTTAAAAATAGTACATTTCTGTCTTTCCTACGTTCTTTTCCGGTCTTTCCCATTTATTATGAAACCTCTTAGAAAAATCAAAAAATGATCTCCTTAAAGTATCTCTCCAATCCTTTCTTTCATATAAAGGGTAACACTTGAAAATTGAAACAAAATTGTTGGTAGAAAAGTTATTCACACTTTCACAGGTACAAAAAAAAAAATAAACATCATTGTCAAACCAATACATTTCTTGGAGAAGGTTGGGAAGGTAAGGATACTACCAAGTAAAACTTATAATGAACGTTCTATCAAATGTTCAAACATTTCTGTTAAGCAGTCTAAAAATTGTATCTTTAAAGTACCTACCAAATATAAATTACGTAAAAAACTAGCAAAATTAAAATTTCTATAAATAGCTCAATAATCACACAAATGTTTTGAAAATTTTTGATTTTTCTCGATTATTTCGAAAACTCATTGGAAAATCAAAAAAATGTTCAGAAAAGATACTACGCTGGAGTAATATTTCTAGTAGAAGTGATTCATAGGTAGAAAAAAAATAGACGAAGTAAAACCAACAACTATAACCAATAACAGTCGTCAATGAGAACAAGCAAGTGAACACAGCTAGACAAGGTCGGATTAAGAAATTTCGATTCACCGAGATTACATATATTTTACCGGCTTCTGGCAAAGAATCTGATTTATTTTTAAGCGTATTTAAACTTTTTTTTTAAATAATAAATTACACAACTATGAGAAATATATTTTTCTTAAACACTACAATGGCAATTTCACAATATAATGCTATATTTAAACGTGTACGTGTTCACCCTGCAAAAGGCGATATTTTAGTAACCATTAAAGGAAATGTTTTGCAATCTTCGGCATGGACGTGTTTAGCAAAATAAAAGCTAGAGCTCCAAATTACGAAGTCCATTTAAGGAGGGAAATTTTGAAATATTAATCAAGAGAATATTTTTTGGCACACATTTCAGTGCACGCAGTATTACATCAAATTGAGAAAATTTTTTAACGAACACATAGGTATTATATATTAGTTTCGGTAAAAAAAAAAAAAGTATTTATTCTTAACTATAAAACTAAAATATGAACGATTTAATTTTGGACATTTTGCTCGGTAGCTTGCCGAGTCTGTTAAATAATTAAATTAATGTCAATGTTTCTAGTCAACAGTTATTTTTCTTCTTATTTTTTACTATATAAGTAGTTCAAATCATTTGAAAAGCAATTTGAACATTAATCGACTAAGTTTATGGTTTTTAAAAGAAAAGTTTTTGGAAAAGGTGATTTTCTTAAAAAGCGTCATCTCCCACGTCAAAAAATACGACACAGTGACGAAAATCGTATTCACTTGTGCTGGAAAAATACAGATGAATTCTATATGAGTATCGGTTATATAAGGTTATCGTACGATATATGATATTGTACCTTTGTTTTCTTAACCCCGAGGCCTGCCGACGGATTGCATTACACAATTAATCAAATTTTTCGAAAAGCCTTCAATTCCGTTGACGATATGACGTTTTAATTATTAGCCATATTATAGTTCAAAAGGCACGGAAAATGCCGGAATTTTAGCTAGAAAATAAAATACTATGAATAATACTTAAAGGTATAGTTTTTTAAAACGAAACATTTTTTCGTCGGGTATGTATTCCAAGTTGTATTTATTCTATTCTCTTGTAGCGCGTGTAAATAGTTCCATTTGTGATCTTAGGTTCCATCTAACTATTACTTTGTATCTACGACATAATCCATATTAAAGATATAACATATAAAGCTTCAACACAGCTAGGGTTTATCCTACGCAATGTTCTTCTTCCTCAAATTATCTGTTAAATTTCCCTCTCGTTTATGCGAATTTTCTTTCAAGATCCCACTTTTTTTTGGCAATTGTTTTTTTTTCCAACTATTAATCCTAGCACCATGTACCTTTAAGGCTTTGTATTTTTTGTATCGGACAATCTGCAAAATATTCTGTAAATATCGTTTGGCGTACAGAAAATAAAATAATAATAATATTCTTTTTTCTGGACACAAGTGTATACGCAAACGTTATTTCACAGTCTGTATTAGAGCAGATTGGTGAGATATACAGGAAATACTTTATCGCCCCCCACGTATATAATAATACATGGTGTTTATTATTTAACTGTGTTCCGAGCCTCAAAGCTATATAAGTAATATTCGTATTCATCATTATTATAATATATTATATTGAATAGAGTTATAATTTTTAAGAAACTGGATAATATACTTTCTTTACACCCGGTATAAAATTTAAAAATAATAATGACTATCATTTGAAAACCAACCGTTTTTTTTTTTTTTATTGTAGCAGTAAGAGGAGAAAAAGTAAAAAATAAAAAAAAATACCTATAACTATACAGATTGACTGTCTGAAATTTAATTTAAACATTTTTTTTTTTAATATTTACTCGATAAACGAAACAGTAAGGTAATGGATTACATTGTAATGTTCACAAGATTAAATTTGCTGATTATTTTTTAAATGATTTATCGATTCGAAAGGGTTTTAAAACTTTTCCGTGATACTTATTCTGCAACTTTGTGCCCACACAGCAGAATATGATATTTTATAAAATTTAAAAATATTTATGCAAAACAAATTAAGAAAACCCACTCTGTAAACATCCAGAGTTCATGGCTTCTAAAAGTATTTTAATTATGTGATTACACGCATATTCAATTTAGAACAAATTTGGTAAATTAATACATAATTCTTATGTATAAAAACCTAAATAAATTAAATAGATCATTTTTTGAATAGGTACTTGATAGGCATAAGCGGAAATTGTCCATAATATAAAAGGGGTTGATATTTTAAAATATTGTTCATTATCAAACCAGCTCCGAATTTAAAAATGTATCGAATTTAATAATAATCTTTTATAATATTTTAATCACAAATTATTATATATACATTAGCTATACATTTATTAATTATGGAGTAATGACCAGTGACTACTGACCATTAAACACTTTACACTGAGTTTTTAAGGGGGCTAAGCCCATTCAACATCCTTCCTCCCCAATTTATACCAGTGTTGACAGAACATTTTTGAAATTCTGAAGGTTCTTATATTTTGATACCTTTGTTTCGTAATATTGGTTAGTATTATGGACTGTTTAAATGAATAATTACAATTTGTAATAATTTTACGAATAATATAACAGGTGTTTCCTTGTTAACCAATTTAAAAAGACAAAAGCCATAACTGTGTACCAAACGTACGGTAGCGGACAGACACAGTAGGGATATAAGGTGTTCTTAACTTAGGTTTAAAAACTTAAAAACAAATAAATAAATATAGAAATATAACCTATAGATTTTTATAAAAAAAAAAGATTGTGTTAAATACGACCGATTTCGATTTAAAAAAAATTATTATCAGGTATTTGAACAACAAAGATAAACAATAATACCCATTATATTTGATATTTTATTGGGTATTAGTCAAAAACAACTTTTGTTTTCTATTATATTTTAACAAAATATACCCAAATTGTAATAATCAGGACTGTGAATATACATATTCATGTTTTTTTTTGGTACATCATACACATGTAATAAAATAGATTCAGTGGAAATTTTGTTTAATGTTATTTATAAATTAAATTCGAAATCTTATTTTGCATATTTTTGCATATTTAACGGGTTAGAGCATATTAACAATGCATTAATTTCATGACTTTTTTTATATGAATGCGTTTTTTTTTTTGTTTTTTATATTTGAATATTTTTCAGGTCGATCTGGTCAAAATCAGCATTAAATGTTTTTTATTTTTATAAGATTTTAGAGTTTCCATGAAAATATCACTATAATTCTGTACTTCCATACTTCTCCTGGACTTCAAAATTTCAAATAAATTTTTTGTTAAGTATTTTTTGGCGATTTTATCATCGATAAAATTTTAAAAATGACCAACCAATACTAGTATCAATATTATAGTATTATAATGTCGCTTACCTTCGATTGGAGATTTATCAAATTATTATTATCATAGTTGTATTATGATATTATTAAAACTCGCGGTAAAATGTCAAATAATATCGAAAAATTCATATCGTTTCGTTCACGGATGCATACGATTTGAAGTTGTTTATATAGAAAAATGTTATTATCGATTTAAATCTGCGAATGATGAAAAAAAAAAGCTATACTTTTTCGATTTATCTATAAACATGTTATGAAACGAAAAAATAATAAAACTAAAGTACCCATAAATTATTACAAGTAGATAAATCCGGATTAGTCTTGCGTATATATACAGGCAAATAAAATATCACCGGGGTATTAAGCCAGTATGCAAAACATAAAAAAGAGGGAGTAAATTTGTTTGTTTAAACACTGTAAACGCCTGTTTTTCTATTTTTTTTTTTTTTTTTTTTTAAATGAAATGTTTACTAAAATAACGTTAAGTGCCTATATAGGTTGTAAGTAATTTAATGTCTTATTAGTATTATATTTGACGCGGATTTGTTCCTTTTTTCATTATATATTCCAATCGCGCATCATAATATTTATTATATTATTATAAATATTTAGTACAATGAAACATCAAGGTTATAACCGTTATTTATTACAATTTATTAGTATATGTGTATACATGACTAATAATAATAATACGTATATATTATATTCACCAGTCGGGCTGTAAATTATTCCGCACGCGATTATATTTATATCAGATGTGTGTAACACTTTATTAAGTCAGGAGGTACCTACCTACCTCTTACTAATCGTCGTATATAGACGTACAATACAACATTTCGCGTATATACTGTATAGTCTGTGAGTGATAAAAGTGCAAAAGTTGGTATTACTTCTTATACAGATAAGTACTGTTGTTATTTTCCGTTTCGTTTTTTTTTTTAATTTTATTTTTAACTGTCTTCGTATACTGGTAGTTAAAATAGTTGAAATTGTATATATAGTGATCGTACCTACTCGTGGTTCAAAGTCCAAAGAAAATCACGATTTCGTATCAAAAGATCGATTCAATCTGTAAGTATATAAGTCTTTATGTAAACATTTTGTATGATTATAACAGAAGCTATCGTGTGGGTTTTTTCTTTTTCGATTTCCGGATTATATCCGCGTGGAGGTAAATATAATTTTTTCGGCTTGGAAATTAACTCGAATCTATTGAAAGTAACCAACTCAAATAATAATTTTGTTATAAAGTTTATTTTTTTTTTATAAATATTCAAATTAATTTATTTTCAATTTTAAAAAATTAGTGGATTATGTGAATTGTTTAAAACTATTTTTGGAATTTATTTAATGTAATAGCACTGGCTGGAGTATAAACAATGTTGTCACTTTTATTATGAGAAAACCGTTAAGGGCTCGGTTAAAATCGTATGACGCATGTATAAAATAACTAGGTACTAGTCAGTCGTATTATTACGCTGATAGATAACACTAATTATACCCCAACATGACTACTGCTGGTATCATACAAAACATTTGAATATAATTTTTAAAAATCAATGTGATTTTGTGATTTTTAAGTTAAATAATAATAATAAAGACGTCCTAGGATTATGGGGACGGGTACAACCATTGTCATACGGTAATTTAATGTATATCTGTTAACACCGATTAATTATTGCTAATGAAAAATGATTCTGAGCAGAGTTCAATTGATAGTGATGCTTTGTCAACAATATATATGTCATATTATGGTATAGTTATTAAATAGGCATTATATATTATCATTAAAAATATTTGTTTAATGTACCGATATTCCCGTTTTTCCAACGTTTTTTTTCGGTTATCCCATGTTTTTCCTGGTTTTCACATTTGCTGAGAAAATTCTGGAGAAAATCGAAAAATGACCTCCCTAAAGTACATCTCCACACCGATTCCCTTTCAGAAAAAGTGCTACACGTAAAAATCGAAGCAAGTTCTCTAGTAGAAAACTTGTTTGCAGAAAAAAGAATAAACATCTTAATAAAACCACAAGCTTCTTCGCTCCATTCAGAATCTAAAAATAGAAACTTTTTTGGAAAAATATTCAAGCAAATTCTTTTTATTTTATTTATTTATATAGATTATTAATTTAAAAAAAAAATAATGTGCAAAGTCTATTTGGCGCCGGCTATTTCAGCATGCGCAGAAAAATTGAATTAAAATTCTACCAAAAGTCATAGTCAAACTACACAAAGAAAATCCAAAAAATGATCTTAGTACACCAATTAAATTAAAATTTGCTATAACAGAAATAGTGACACACATTATTGTTAAATAAATACATCCCTCACTGCGCTCAGAGAAAGAAAAGGTAAAATCTTACAATATAGTAAAACTAATACATAAGGATATTGTTGGTATTTGGTTCTCTTAAAACGAATAAAAAATGTATTAAATAGTTCATATTTTATATCAACATTTAAACTTTATTGTTCCGAAAGTTTTAAAAATTTACTCAAAATTATTCAACCAGTTTTTCATTTTAGTACAATATGTAGAACGAGTTTATAAAACTCAAACACCTCGATTTTAAATTTAAAATTACAAATCTGCATGCCAAGTTATAAATGTGATCGTAAATAATTAAAAACACCTACGACGAAGTCAATTTTTAAAACAAAGTGAAATGCAATTAGCTTGCGTTCGTAAATTATAAAACATATTTTATTTTCTAAAAGAAAATATAAAACAGATCGCATTACAGTTTGCATAACACGGTGGGAAAAATTAATTATAAAAAGTATCGTTTTATTTAAACCACATATTATATGATATATATTTGATTAACTATAATTCTATACTATTTACATTAAACCTATATAATATTAATATGCTTAAGTAGTTTAAATTTGTATGTTTTATGCCGCAGCAAAACGCCGAAAAATTTGGCCTCTCTGATATGGTTATTTTTTAAAATATTTTTTTTTTATAAATAAAAACAGATATTTAGTTATATTTTTATATTTTATTTTGTTAATATTTACAAAACAATACAATTTTATTTTATACGATATTTATATAGGTTTTTCTTAAATACTATTATACATGTTTTCTTACTTCTCTAGTTAATACTATATATTTTACAACACAATCATTAATTAAAATACATTAAACTGTTACACCTTTTAAATTTACCGAGGTAAACTGACATCGACTGAAGCTGTGGCTGAATCGAAATTTTTTTTTTAAGTATCGATAACAATAGTTGGATCTTTTTCTAAAAACTGTGTAGCACTTAATATTGGACTGCACACCTCTTTTTCATAATAAGACCCTTAGAATGCCATGTACATATTGTATAATAATGAATAGTTTTTTTACTAAAATCTAAATTCAAATCGTTATACAGGTACATGTTGGAATTCAAATATATTTTCACATTTTTTAAATTACAATGTTCAAATTTACTCTAATCTTCAGCTTTTTTCCGTAAACCTATTATCAAGTATCTTGGTTTTTCCAGCTTCGATACTATTTTTAGTTTTTTAGTTTTTTAATTAGTGTTCTGTTATTGTCCCCTCGATGTAAATAAAGGTTTCGTGAAGATATGGATATGCATCCAACTGTTGTACTAATATTCGTATTTCAACATTATTTCTATATGAATTTGTGTATGGAGTATAAGAATGGTATTTAAGTTTAGTTATAGTTCACAGACTATAAGAAAAAAAACATCTCAGTAAAACCAATAGCTCCATCGCTACGCTCGGAATCTAACATATAACTAAATTTCTGTTTTTATTTTAAAAAAAATACGAAAAATAAAACAATTTTTTTTAAAAAAGTAGCCAAATCAGAGAGGCCAAATTGTTTGGTTTTATGTAGAATTTTGCTGTGTCATAGAACACTACTTACTTAATTATGCAATAAATTGTATTCACTTCGAACACGAATACACGATTATGAAAATGGTAAACAGGAAAATTGCGTAATTTTTCTTTTTGGCCGGCACTCGTCAACGTCGGTTAGTTATGTTGTATAATTTGTTTTATTAAACGATTGCGATACAGAGAAAATTATTAATAACTTCTACATTTTTTTTTATTATTATTATATAAATATATTTTTTTACAAATTAGTACTAACCTACTCCAATGACATCTATAATAATAATATATATCTTATCAATATAATATTATCATTAATGGAATTAATCAAACCAAAAATTATAACTAACCATACTTTCGTATGCATAACGAGAATTTTCAAATGAATATAATTATTATGGTATTGGTGGTCTAATAAAGTCCAGTGATTTTTTACTATAAACTATATCCACGTTTACTGTTTTAGTCTAACCGACGTGCGACGGGCAACGTTAACAAAATCTCGTTATTCAGAATATAAATTGTGGCATTTAGGTTGAAATAAGAGTTTAAACACCAGTACAAAATTTAAAGAATATATTTCCGAGGTCTGAACGTTGCTTGTTTCTAAGACATGTTTATACAAAATAGCTACAGATAAATAGCTTTATAAAAAAAAAAACTACGCACAGCACTCGAAAATATTCCCCTCTTTTAATTTTTAATTTGCGTATACACTTAAATTTCAACCAAAACTTCACAATGTTTGTGCATTATAAGAAGATGTTTTAGTTAGTCGTGCAAATGAGGGTACGACGATCTGCAGTTTAGCGAACAATTTACGGCATCCTTCGGAAATTTTGATTTTGGAATTAATGTGTTAAATAATAATATAATGTTACATTTTGTGCGCTGAAATGCTAAAAACGAATTTTTGTTTTCAACTTTGTATATAATTACGATACAATAGTAAAATAAAGTTATAATTAGACGATTAGTCTGGACATGTTTTATTCGTCCAAAGCAGTAGCTGATGGTGGATATCGCTTTCTGCGGTCATGGAGTCTACCTCTTGAGTCGGAATGTTTTTCAAGGGCTTACGTGTAAGTTGTAATGAATGGCTCCGTTTAAATTAGCAAGTGAATAAAAAAAATATGTTATTAACTTTATGTGTTCATCGATTGTGGGGGTTTTCAAGTCTTTGTGCAGCGCTGTGTTGCGTACAAATCAGGGAGCATCTGTTACTATACGAATTATTTTGTTTATATTTGTAATTTATTTAAATGACTTTTAGCGCAACTATCCCAAATACAGCAAGCGTATAACAATATAGGTCTTAAAACTTGCATGTAAATCATAAGAGAGCATGTTTTGCTTTTAGTAGATTTTCAAATAATTATTAGGAAGAGAATAACTAAGCGTTAGTATGCTTGCTGAAATTTGGCCGAAAGTTGTTGTCACCAATTGAGTTTCTTATCAAGGATAATGTCTAGGCACTTTACCAATGATTTCCTTGATATTGGCACATTGTCAAATTTAACTGGTTGAGGAGTCTGTGATCTTCGTAAGGAAAAGAGTACTGCTTAGCTTTTTGATAGGTTGATGAGTATTCTTCATTTTTGGCACCAAAGAAAAATTTCTTGGCGATATTTTTGAAAAACAGCTGTAATTGTTTGAGTATCCGAAGTTCCACAGTAGATGGCAGTATCATCTGCAAATAGGGCGATGTTTGTATTCGTGAATTAAGGAATGTCAGGGATAAAAAAATTAAACAAGATACCGCCTGAGGAACTCCAGTTTGAATAGGTCTACATGATAATTGTGCCTCGTTTATTCTAACAACAAAGCATCTGTCAGTAAGAAAAGATTTTAAAATGTGTTCAATATATTTTGGGATGTTTGCACGTTTTAACTTATAAAAAATACCATCGTGCCACACCCCAAGTGACTTCCTATTTGGCAATGATTTTATATTGTTTTTAATTTCCATAGGGTTAATATAAGAGAGCATATTTTATATCCTAAAATCTTCCAGTAATTGACTGTTTTTCACTAATTTGCAGGTTGGCCAATGTTTTACGTCATTAGGATTAAATGTACTACTTAGAGTGTCCGCAAATAGCTCACATTTATCTTCGTAAGTTATAGCTGTGGATTGAGTTGGAGTAATTAGACAATTAATTAATTGTCAACCTTATTTATTAGTCTTTTCGTAAAATAAACAAAATTAATTTCATGAAAGCACGTATTTAAAAAATAAATTATTATATAATTTTAAAATTCTTCATAATACGTTTTAATTGTATGACTAAAAACGAATATCCAACGTATGAGACTTTCCTCATACATCGGCAATAAATATTATAATAAATATTACAATAATATTTTTCTTCCGCATTAATCGATATCTACTCGTATCAATCTCCGATCAAATGACGCGGTAAAAATTCCGGTTTAACTCAAGTTAGTCTTACACGTATACCAGTTGTATTTTACACTTAAAGGCGGGTTCACACTACATCATGTCGTGTCGTGTTGTATAAAATCATTTTCTCTGATTAACTGAATCACGTGGTTCAAATATACCAAGTGGTACATCGTTAATTTATCACACGATACCACAATAATCAAACGATACCGCAAGGTTGAATATATCCAACTTTTGACCGTATGGTTACATTTATTTGCAGAAAAACAATAACTAAAAAGAAATGGTAAAATTTTATAATCAGATACAATTTTTTATTGGCTCGAAATAGCTATGAAAAAATATATGGAGTTCGGGAAATGAATGAGAGTGGATAATATTGTACTGTTTTATTTTATTAAATCAAATATTCTATATTAATATTTTAATATTTTAAATTAATTAATTACTATTTTTTTTAGCATCAAAATATTCGTCTACAAGATTCGTTACTAATCATATAATGCAAATTTTTCTTTGGTATAATTTTGTATTATATTCATGTAAATCATTGTTGTTCTTATACCCTTTCTATTTGAATGCTGCTGACATTGTAATAATACGTTTTATATATTAATAATAAATCTATTTATGAAATGCAGATTTTGTTTTTTTATTTAAAATTCATTAATGTATTAATATTATCATTATCAAGGACAATATTCTTATAATTAATAACAATCATTGGTATCGTTGGTATTGTATATTTTGGAAAACGCACGGCACGAACATACGTGATTATAAAAGCACCACACTTCACGTCACGGTGTAGTGTGAACCCGGCTTAAGAGTTTCTTAACCATATACGAGTAGATTATACATTTATAGGTTCACTATATATTTTATGATGATCAACAGAATAGTATTTTTTAAAAGCAAAATAATAATATAATAAAAACATAATTGAAAAATAAAATACTGCTGATAAGTGTAATACTTGTGGGTGGAAAGTTGGAAAGGTAGAATAAGTATATACTATAGGGCAATGTTTTTCAACCTTTTTACTGTCACAACCTCCTAAATAAATAGGTATTAAATTTTTTAGCGATCCTTAAATATATATTTTATAAGCGGTGACCCTCGTTTTTGACGACCATAAATAATTAGTTGGTAATCCTCCGGTAGAGTAATATTGCCATTAGGGATATGTATATTAGAGCAATCTAATTTATATCTGTACATAACGACTTAATGATGTTTAAATTTAATTTCAACAACATTAGAAAGTCTATAAATTAAATATAGATGAAAATTATTAAATTATTCAAACAAAATATTCTTAATAAAATTTCAAAAGTTGAATTTAAATAAAATTTCCCATTTTGTCACTTTTTTCATCACTATTCATCCCGTTTTTAGCATGAGATGTAGTGAAAACAGAAGTGAAAACAAAAAGGAAAAATAATACTGAAATATATTTAAAATACTAGAAAATACTAGAAAAAAAAAACAGAATTTTTGAGAACCTTTCCTGTTCCATTTGTATCTATTACTTCCTATATACTATTTCTTATATGTTTTTATAGACTATTTACCAATAGTGGTAGTTGATAAATGTTGTCAAAAAAATACTTTCATCGTTATTGATTTAAGTTAAGCAGATGCTTACAATTAGTTTTATGTAAGGTATTTATACAACCTCGTGTTGTCAATCATAGAAATATATCGTATTCGCCAAGCGCAAAAAACACAATAAAAGGTAACAAGATGTTTGAAAAACCAACTGGTTTCAGTCGCAATTAATATTATAATATACATATTTTGTTCTAGTAATTTTTTTTTTTTTTTTTGAGTTAGAAATCAACTACTGAATTGTACGATTGTCATACAAATAAACTAAGAAAGCATCGTTTTACTTGTTACCTATTCGACATATAATTACGGACGTTACGGTACTTTTACAAGGTTACTTATACTAATATTATTAAAACAATTTATAATGTATTGTTTAATTTAACAGTCAAACTAAATATATTATAAATATTAATTAGGCGCCTAATACTACAAATATTGACTGTTTGATAATATCTATAACGTCTAAATAATACAAATTTCTACGGTAGTCTTAAAGCTGTTTAGTTCTTGTAAAAAAAAAAAAAGGTTAACAATAATGAAATCAGCTATATTATTAACAAATTTCAATTTTGGATGTTGCAAAATTTACATATAACTATAGTAAACCGCATGTACAGCTAACACGCTTAATAAGTAGAACAAAAATATATAAACTACTATACATTTTAATTAATAATTATTATAACCTCATAAACTAAAAACAATAAGAACTATTTCAACACGGATTTCCAGTATTGTATAGGTATATCCAATCTGCTAACTTGTCGCAGTCACAATGTCACAAATTACAAAAATAAAAGTATAGGTATTTAAAATATCTATTTCAAAGTCTTCAGTTAACAATCAACAAAAAATAAAATTCAACTTGTGAAGTTGAGAATTATAAATAAAAAAAATATATCTACATAACTTGGTTAGAAGAAAGTTAGTTTTTTTACCAGACATAATAAATGTTAAAACAATCAAAAATTATTTTTAGGGCCATTATTTATATATTATACATTTACGCAATTATAGGTATACCTTATAACAAGAATACATAATAGATTCAAATTTCAAAAAGAAAAAACATAGACTCAATCGTTTATTTTTGAACAGGTAACTTATTAAATCAATGCTTATCAAAATGTGTTGAATTAAGTCGCATTTATACAATGAAACTAAACTATAGTCAAGTTAATTGGTTAGTTTTTTATTTTGAGAACTGTTTTATTTTCTTTAAAATATTCTAAACTTTGAACTTTACCTACACGCATTTAAAATATGTAAACAATTAATTTAATTTTAAATTTATCAACATTTGTATATATAAACTATCAAGATTACCATTATTGTTTAGTTATAACAAAATTTTGGTCTGATGACACATTTCAATATAAGTACTAGACAACATTATATTAAACTCAATTTTATGTATTGCAAACACACACTGTTAATTATTTATAATTTATCACACAACCACACAAATGTATCCAGTTCAATTGTATTGTATTGCTTAGACGGCTGGACGATATAATACTCGTATTATAGTATAGTATTTTATTATATTTTTGTCTGTTTTGAACTATTGCAAAAAAAACATAAAGGTCTAAATAATGATAATAAGATATCAACTAAATTAACAATGTTATACTATTTTTATAAATCAATTTGTACTGAAAAAAGAGTAAATGGATATTTCTAATATTAATTTTGTGCGTCTGCAGTATTATATTACCTACGTGAAAAGATCATATATTCGTATTAGGTAGATTTAATAAAATAATAATGGAATATTTAGAATTTCTTAATTGTATAAGCCATACAATTAATGTAGGTAAAGTGTATAAGTATGCCTAGCTATCTATCCTATTACCTAATTTATTATATTACAGTATAGATATGCTTAGTAGCTTATTATATTGAAATATTTAAACTGTTTAGGTACCTATACACACTTTTTAGTAGATATTCAATTTATTTATCGCAAGTTTTATTTTATGTAACTTCGCCAAAGCTACAATAATTCAACAACAAATACTATAAAGAATATATACACGATATACATTATAGTTAATATTAAAAATATTTAATTATGGGTACTTGGCTACCTGTAGTTGAAAACTGAAAAGTAAACACATAAAATATCTAGGTAAACGTTTTAGATTCTGAGTACAGCAAGGAATGTTTTAGCTACAATAACGTATGTCTTTGGTTTTTTTTCTGCCAGTAAACAACTTTTCCACAAGAAATTCTGCTCCAATAAAAAAATTACAAGAGAGCTTTTTATAAGAATTTTGGATTTCGTTGATACATTGAGAAAGTGGATTTTTGGTTTTGTAATTTTCTTAATAATTGGGAAATACCAGAAAAGTTTATGGAAAAAAGTTGTAATAAGTTTGAAAATAACTATAGAGAGCTGCCATATTCAAGCATTACATTTATTGGCCTTTTCTAAACGAGATAAAATGTTCAAATCATTCCTGCAATTTTTGAGTTATTTATAGGCTTTTGACATTTTTGAGCTATATTAGTTTTACGTGGATAAAATTGTTTCGACTGAACAGAAATGCTTTAAATACTTACCGATCAAAAATAAAATAAAATACAATTGAGCGTAATCCATTTTAAAATATGCATAACAGAACTTAACTTTGTTAAGACTGATATTAGGATTGCCAAAACATGGAAATGAACGTAAAGGTATTCTCATCTCCTCCATTATTCCAGTGTACATTTTAAACTCTAAAAAATACCTCATAAAAGGTACATCAGAAATTCATGTTATGGATAACATTGTATTAAGAAATTTTAGAAAAGTAATCTCATTTCGATCCTGAGTTTAAAAATATGAGTAACTATTTGAAAATCAATAGTTGGTATTTATATATTTACATATATTTACAATCATACAGTTACATACTTTAATTATATAACATTAATTAAAATTGTTTGCACACTTTCTTTAAGCAAATGTTTAAGTTGAAGGTGTTGAGTTCATAAAATAGATACATAAACAATATCTATAAAGACATAATTAATACAAAAATAATATTACATTACAATTCGGTAAAATAACCCTAAATTTATCTTCTTCATTTTAGAATATTTAAAATGCTTATAGTCAGTGAACTGACTAATATTTATTTCCATTTGCCTACAAAGTGAAATTGTTCGATTTAAGCAACTTTTATCTCCAAATTGTTTTTTACAATTAGGAATAATCGTATTTATATTATTCCTATATCTGGTATTAAAATTATGATTACAAGATAATAAATAAATGTTATGCTTAAAACTTAATAGTACATTTGTTGAGAAGCTTATCAAAGTTTAAGACATTTAACTCGTTATAAATAAATTGAGTACAAGTAAAAATAGGAACTTTTAAGATAAATTTAATAATTTTATTTATAGTCAATTTTAATTTGTTCAAATAGATATCATAGGCACCCCTCCTCCCCCATATCTCAATACCAAATGCAACTGACAATTGACTAAGGAAATATAAACAAATCTAAGTTTATGTTTATCAAGAATATATCTTAAATCTTTAGAAATATAAAAGAATTTACATCATAAATTCATAATAAATTATGATAAATATAATGTATTACATTATTATATTAGTATTTATAGTACCTATACGGAATAAAAGTAACATTTTGAAAATATTTAAAAAAAGACAATTAAAAGATTTTCTATATTTTATAATGATTGATAAAAACAAAAATAAAATGAACTTGCTCAAAATATACATAATAAACATAATAGCCGGTTCGCGATAAAAAAAATCATTCTGTACCTTTATGACTTATAGTAATGTTTACAAATACTACGCTACGTCGTGATTTTAAACGATTTTATATTTTTTGTTCTACATATAAATCATCCTCTAACCATGCGAGCCATTTGCGTGCTGTCCAAAATTACATTAGCATGTAGAAATGCTTAGAAATTCGATATAAACATCAAGGAAGTATATTGTATACAAATATACAAGATAAAAAAGCTGAAGTATTTTATTACATTACGTTTTTTTTAAATAAAACTTGTATGCGATTCTATTTGAAATACATACTTATTTAGTAGGTATTAAAACCAACAAAATTATCTTAGTCAAATAAACATCAATTTAAATTTTTATACAACATACTAATTAATAAAATTTAGTATACTACCTATATGTACTTAATATTAAAAAAAATTGATACTGTTCACTTTTATTAGTGGGTAGTTTAAAAGGTAGAATATACAAGATAATTTAGTTTATAGTATTTAAATAATAATGTATACAACGATAAGACAAATCTGAAAAGAAAATAAGTATAATGAGTCTTGTTTCCTCGTGGCCAAGGTATCACAGAAATCAACAAAAATTAAACCGATGTCTCAACATTTTTTGTTTTAGTTTCTGAGTGTAACAAGGGATCTATTGGTTTTATAATGATTCATTTTTTTTATCTTTGATAACTTTTCTACCAGAAATCCTGCTCCAATCAAATCATAAGAGACTTTTTTGTTGCATTTTGGATCTAGTCGGTTCATTAGAGATGTTATTTTTTGATTTTCTAAATGGTTTTCATAATAATTGGCAAATATACGTAAAATGAAACCAAATAAATTTACGGCATACAATTTTATTAATTTAAATTTTACGATTTATACTTTCTAATTACAAGAAATCTTGTTCCAATCGAAAAATAACAAAAGACCTTTTTTGTTTAAGATCTAGTTTATTAGTAAGAGTCTTGTTCTGTTTTTCTAACTAGTTTTTTTTTCATATGAGTTTTAAGATCAAATTTTGATGAAAACTGTAAAAATTATAGCATTTAAAAACATGCATAATCCGAATTTACTTCAAAATCGAATTTTGTTTTCAATGGTTTTACCCTTTTTATAGTTATAAGTTAAATTAGTTTATGTATCTTATAAACTTCCCAACTTATCACCTACAAAAATGGCACACACGTCATCAGTATCAGTTATTTTAGATTCTGAGTGGAGCGAGGAATATATTGGTTTTACAATGATGTTTTTTTTTATTTTTTCTATACTGTGTAAAAAAATTCTACTAGAAATCTTACTTCGATGTATCAAGTAGTGTAGCTGAAAAAGCGTTTTATCTTATTGGTCGTTTAGTATATAGATTTTGATTTTCCAAGCAGTTTTCAAATTAATTGAAAAAACCCGAGAAAAAACTTTATTTTTGTAATTCATTTCAAAATATTCATAGAGACTTGAAATTTGGACAGAAAACCTAAATTTGAGCCATTTTTGAGCCATTTATAGACATATAAATTTTAAGAGTTTTGTACGTAATTTTTATGTGGTAGTGTTATTGGTGGATAAAATTGTTAAGACTTAACATGAGTGCATGAAAATTTAACGGGAGGTTCATTATAAATTGTACTTGGTGGTCAATAAGAAAAAATTGAATTTAACGTAGTATTTATTTATTTATTTTTTTAATAAGAATTTAAATATCAAATTTTTACGAAAATCGTAAATATTATGGCCTTATAAAACATGTATAACAGAATTACCTTTAGAATCGTTTTTCGTTAGCAATTATTAATCGATGCATACAGATGAACGTTAAATTCTTCTCTGTATCTTACCTTCCCAAATTTTTCTCAAAAACTTCTCATCTACGACAATGGTCCACCCAACGTGCGAAGTAGGTATATTCATCTTTTTTTTATTGCTAAGTGACTAATTATATCAATACATTTGAAAAACTGTTGGGAATTAAGACATTCTATTCGAATAAAGCACTATCGGTCAAAAAATACGCATATTTAACCTCTTAAAATACAATGCGAATAATTTGGAATCTTAATCACAGAAAAGGTTTTTTCTGATAAAAAAAGGGATGAAACTGTAAAACCGTTAAAATGTTCGATTAATGTTTCAAATAAAGTACCACTAAGCAGATATTTTGCATATTTTAAATTAAACATGAACAAATGATTTTTGTGGAAAAAAACACATAGGTACTTAGTAAAATGAATACCTTTTTCTCTACATTTAGAATCAAAAGTTCTTGTTTTATCATTAAAAAAATTATAAAAATTATTGTACAGCAATCATATAAACAAACATGAATTTGTTGAATTTTTACGCACATTTATCAATGGGATCAAATGGTCAAACCATTAACTGCTCATTATTATAACGTATTAATATTATTAATTTTAAACCATAAAAACAAATATTCATTATACATTTAATACGTCACTGTTTTATGTATAGATAGGTCAATAATATTGTATGGATACGAGTATTTTGGTATAATACAAGTGCCAATTGTTTTAATTTCAAACACGATAACAAACAAATTCGATAAACGATACTGCATACTCGTACCTAAGTGGAATTATTAAGAATTATAATATTTTTATTAAAGCTCCGTTTGTATTTCTAATTTTACAACATTATCGGTAGATAAACACCTAATGGTTTTAGAGTCTTATTACACCGACAAATTTCAATTGCCAGCGATCCTGTACTAAATAAGAGCGCGCTCACATAGACAACTGGCATTTGCCACCAACTATCGGGTGACAGTAACTATTCACGAGCATTTGAATTGTCAAGACCATCTAAAAGCTGTATATAAAATTGTTTTATAAATAGCCGTTTCTACACAAAAAAAAATGTAATCAACCTCTTAAATATTTATGAAGTATAAAACATCATAGAGTAATTCTGGGTAAAATTAATGTAAAATGTACCCTTTTGCAATATTGTATAATATAATTTTTGATAAAGAATGTACGTTGTAACCACAGCTTGAGACGTGCTGAACAGTAACTGTTTTAGATAACTATTTCAGAAAAAAAATGTATGCCTGGTTGTGTATGTATGTTTTTTATTTATTAGTATAGTAAAACATAGGAAATCTACTGTAAAACTCTAGCATAGCTGAGTCTACTATAGAATGACGTTATAGTTGCAGTCGACAGATGTAGAAATTAATCGCAACTAAAACAAGAAATAATAACATTGATAAAGAAATGTATTAATAGTAATAGAAATTAAAGAAAATAATCAAAATTGATATTATAATATTGTCTGTCTGAAAAAAACTCTAAAATTATTAACAGTTATTTATTACACTATATAGCTGAGATCTCGTATCTATACAAATTCGACGGCTTAAACTTTTTGAACACATTTAATTGACGTGAACATCATCGCTGTGATGTTATCTGCTATGTTATGGGAACATGATTTAATAAATAAATATACAAATACAGGTGCCTAGTAATGAAAATTAAATATGCATTTTAATTTTAACATTATAATATATAGTATGTATGTTCAGTTACGATTCACCGAATCTGTTGCTTTGTTCGAGTTATACAAAAACGAAAAAAACATCGAATTAATTCTTTTTCTCTGTTAATTATACACATAAAGAGGCAGGTGCCTATATATGTTTATTAATTATATCTATCTGGTATAACGAATTTAAAACTATTTTTATTCGAATTATGCCTATGTAATGTATACACGTATACAAATTAACGAACAATTAAATGACGATCATTTTATTTTATTTATTTATTTATTTATTTTTTTTTGAGACACTTTTTTGATTTTTCAATATCACTATGTATAACCGATTTTAATTTTAAACAACTCTATATGTACCTACCCACACACTACACAGCATTCAAAACATATAAATAGTGTAGTCATATGTGTTTTATGTGTTCTTGGAAATATTGTAAGAAATCATATAGCGAACACATATATTTCTCCCATATTATAAAAATATGTTTTTAAGATGTCATAGGAAATATGGAACAATGTATGGTACGGTTACATCTTATATGATACTAAAATATTGTAATTGTAACCTATATGCATATATGTATAGATTTCATGTTTTTCATTTTTCTAAGAATAAAATATATTTTTCACATTCTAATAGAAATCATACACGTATTATAAATAATTATCAGTAATCTGTACATTTTCTGAAAAACCACCAGTTTTTTTCCACTAAGATTATGCTATATACTACTTCTACTATATACTATTCTGATGATATAATAATACCAATAATCTAGTCAAACAACATTAACATTAACCACTACGACGACAGGCCAAAGATAATTGATTAAGTAAGTATAAACAAACCATCAAATTTGCACGCGTATTGTGCTACTCGTAAAACTACTGCAGTAATAATATCATCATTCCTACAAGTTTATAAACCGAATTTAATGTTATATACAGGGTGAGATGTACATATTAAAAAAAAAAAAAACAGTATTTTGTTTTTTTTAAACATTATTTTTTATAGATATATTATAATAATGATTAATTATAAATAAAATTGCATTATAAAAAGTATCTTATAATATGAATTTTGATTTATATTTTAAAAATGAATAGTAACTATGCATAAATATCTCCATTCTTCTGAACATATCAGTTATTTTATTTTTGATCATTTTAAACATATATGTATACATTAACAAAAGGACTTTTTTAAAACGTTTTAAACAAGTATTTAGGTTACTAAAGTATTTGAAATACTTCACAACCTTGCAGGTTATAAACACACATTATCATGAATCGTATACGGTGACTTTTACTATTTTAAATTTATCAAGTATCGGCAATAATTATATTATAAAATCAGAGCTCGAATTAGGGGAGGGGGTTCCAGTGGACAGAGTTCACAATAATTTTTTCATTCATTTTAACGTACCACTTCATTTGATTAACTCAAGAACGCTAATAACGGTTTTAGTCGAAGCATCTGTTTATATTTATAAAACACAAATGTTTATTTTTTATTCAAAATTAAAAATCGGTTAATGATCTCTAGCCTTTATATCTATGAAAAAAATATCAAAACATCAAAAAACATTTCGTACAACTAATATTCATATGCTCTTACAGTTACGAATCGGTCATTATATACAGTCAATTTTCCTATTTTTCGATCGACTTTCCCAGACCCAAAACCTTATTTTTCTTATCAATACTAAGAGTTTTTTTTTTGTTTAACAAAGTAAATTTAGTAACATTGTTAATATTGTTGTTAATAGCAAGGTGTACGGGTAATGGGCATAACCCTTTTCCACCAAAAACAAAAATGGTACTTTTATCCCGTTTCCAACCCAATATATTTTGTAAAGAAGCGTTTCCGCCAAATTGTTTGGGGACTATCATATACCATATATTACTAATAATAAAATGTATTACAGTAATTAAGTCAATAATAAAACAATTAAATTAGTTTTGTTAAAATCACATAATATCCATTATATTTGAATATTTAAAAAAGTTATAGTAAAATAAACCTAATACAAGTGATAATAATAATAAATCGTTAAGTATAGCAATAATAATATAAGTCGTTACAGTCAATAATTATAATTAATATCGTAATAAAAGTTTAAAAAATCATATAGTTAAATGAAACCGTTTTAACAAAAGTGTATCTACTAATTTCATTAGATTTTTTTTATAATTGCTTCTTCTGCAGAGTTTTTAATCTCTTTTAATCTCTAATATTTGTTTGCATTTCGCAATTTTTACTATATTATTATCATTAAATTATCGATTAAACGATATTTAATTGTAACAATAGATCACATTACACAATAGGTTAAACTAAATGTTATACATTTTACCAATAAAAATAAAAACTATCGGTTTCAAAACTTTTTTGACGAAAACGAAAATTACCCAGGTGTATAATACATGTTTTCATTGTGAAATTAATTACTTAATTTTCTCCTTCTTGTGTAGGGTGTATGCGAAATTCCCCTCGGGTTACTGTGACACTGTGACATTTATCTACATGTACCTATATATGAAACGAAGGTTTCTAAACTAAATCAAGCTTTTCTCCTCATTTTTCCCCCAATTCTAGAACTGGAAAAAAAATATATAATATTATTACTGATCAGATGAACTATTATAAATGAACTACACGTAAATACACTATACATTGTGTTTTTATTGTATAAATCTCAAAATTCGATTTTAATTTCAAATTTGTGTACCTATTCCAAAAAAAAAATTATAAAAACTGTACCATGATTGTATTTTTATAAATTAAAAATAACTAATCCATATGACCGGTAAATATTTTCTAAATATCAATCTTAACAAAAGAAAAAAAAAATTCAATTTAGAATAAACTTGTGCAAAATAATTATTAGTCTACCTGTCTACCAGAAAAAAAATTGTCACACAGCAATAATATTCGGTATAGTATAAAAATAGCCATAGCCATCAAAACTATTTAAGGCAGGCGTATAGCCAAGGGCAGTAGCGGCGTGACAGGGTATTTCATGAGACAATGACCTCATGATCAATTGGGTGGTGGTACCCCCCGGCTAAAAAAAATGAATTAAATGAATAAAAAAAAAAAAATTGCTAACTGATACTCGATACTTAATATTTTATTATTTAAATAAAGGTTTATTGTTATTAATATAAAGTATGTATATATATTAATGTTAAGTTAATTATATTTCGCTAATTTACTTTGAATTTTATGTATTAATTTCCATTGTTAATGGTAACCAGCAAATATTTCAATAAACCATATTTTTTATGAAAAAAATAAAATAAAATAAATTATTTGTTAATTGCATAAATAAATTAAAAAAAAAAATCCACAGAGTTATAAACTCTGTCGATTAAATGTCACATGTTCTACATTGCTTGATATTTTGGTCATTATAGTCCAGTGTTCTCTCGTATTGGCCGATAGCAAAATAATACAATATATAATTTATTATTAAAATAAACATATGCAAAATTCAATTTTATTAATTTTTAATAAATATAAAATATATATCATCATCATGACTTAAAGCATATAGTTGTGTAACGGTAAATTAAGGAAGAGGGGACGGGTGGTCTGTGGGGGCTTTGTCCTCACGAATCTCTCTAATAATTAATATTAACACTTAGGTGGTGGTAGTCAGCCTCCAACATCTATGTTTGCCTCATGAAATAAAAAAGTTCACGCCGCCACTGGCCTAAGGGAAATGTTTTAGGTGTTAAAACACACCACTTCGAACACTTGAAAATATATCTGAAAAATATAATAATTAAATCGACTGAACCTAAAATGATGACAAAACCGGACATAAAATTATCCATTGAAAAAATTATAGAAGTTATGACAAGAAACAATGGCCGCTACAGAAATGAAGGAAATTGAAGATTACAGTATTTTACCAGGCTTAATATAATTTGAACATTTTTTTGGATGAGGGTTACGATAACGACTGATCTTTTATGAAAAAAAGTAAAATTTTTTGTGGGAAAAAATTATTTATTGAGTCATATTAATTGAAATTAAATTGTGTTTTCGATATTTTTTTTATCATAAAAGATTAAAACATCATTTCCAATGGATAAAAGGGTTACGTCAGATGACCTTTCCACAATCGATACAAACAATAATTGAATTGTACTTTAAAAATATTAATTCAAAAAATACTTACTTACTTGTACAATATATAAGTAATATTATGTATAAAATAAAAAACGTGTTAACTCATTTACAAGTATTAATTTTTAGTTTTTATATTATTAAATAAAAACTACATAATATGTACGCTACAGTTTCCACGGAAAAATTAATACGTGAAGATGATATAGATATATTAAACACTTCAAATACTTGCCGTGAAAAAGTTTTCCGGTGGATCACAAATAATTTTACCCAAATGCATTAATTACATCATATTTAAAGACGCGTAGATATTTTACAAAAAAGAAAAAAAATCGTTATGGAAGTATTAAAAAAGGAAAACAACATATCAGTCGAGTTTGCAGGCGCAGCGTTTTTTAAACTTTATTATTATAATATAACTACGCAGAATACTGCAATAGTATTGTATACATTCGCGTATTAAAAAATCCGTGCAGTTTGGCCCGTGGTGATATTATTTTGGCTTGAGACTATTTCATTGTAAATCGTATTTCATTGTATGTCTTATTACCTATTTTTAGTATATACGCGATGAGAGCCGGTTATAATTACTGACAATTTATTAATGAAGGGAAAAAGGTTATTTGATATACCTATATAATGTATTATTTCTTTGATCCTGGGACAAAGAAGAACTTAAGCCAATTTTTGGTATATATATTTTTTTTTATGCAGATAATATTTTATTTTGTAACTTTTGTCTTTTTATTTTTTCATTTTAAATAAAATAAGTGTATGTACCTATATTTCCAAAATTAGTGTATTTAGTGTACCTTTAATGGTATATGCGTTTCAAAATTTAATTTGATTGTATTGGAAACTATTCATAATTGACTTAAGCCCTTCTTCACTGAGACCAACGATTTAGTATAGACAGAAAAAATAATTAAATTTATTTGTGACTGGCGCACGTAACAATGTAGGTATTTATTATTTAGTTAGGTGCCGAAATTCATAAATAAATAAAAAATGAATTTATGTAAAATAAAAATATATTCTGCGGATAAATTTTCTATGCATACAGAAAATGTATCGTTTTTAATAAATTATCTGTGTATCATTTATAGTGATTAATGAACTTGTGTAATTATTACTTTAATACTATAAAATATGCACTATAAACATATTATATTATACACATTTCGGTATACCTACTTATAGTACCGAACTACCGATACATAAATTATTATTTATCTTCTATACATTATATTACAATTTTCTACAGTTATTATGTTCCGTTCTTTGTACATTTATAATATGCGAACCTAATGATGTATAGAAGTATAATCGCCCGCGTTGTACAAATAAAATTCAATACACAAATCGCTAAATGCAAATAGGACAAGTTATGTTCAAATTTTAAAAATATTCAAGAAAGACAAAATTATACTAAATACCTATTTCTGAAGAAACAAAAATAAAAACGAATTTCACGTTAATAACTATAATGTATATTATTAGATATCATCTATCCTACAAGTGTTTAATATAATTGTGTGAAATATTCTAAAACTCTGGGTTTTACGGAGTGTTTTGACTTTCTTGAAATTTTTTCAAATTTAAACATGTGTCATCTCCGAATTTAACGATTCATAATATAATATGTCAAATAATAATTTAATATACATCTTACCAGTCTCCCCTAATATGATGTAAGTACATATAAGGTGCAGTTTGTGTGCAATACAGCATACGGGCAAATTAAATAATATCTCTTAGGTATATTTTTTAAGTACGGGTACACGGTCCTAATTTGAAAGTGTATAGGAGAGAAAAAATCCGAAATATGAACTCTGTACGTATTTTAATAATATTATATGACTTGGTACATAATAAAATATATTATAGTGACTTACCAGAGTATGATGGTACTCGTGAGAGTCTGAAGGAATCCTTCCGTTTTCGTTATCCATCTTTGTTGTAAAATTTTCACCGCGTAGGCGTATCTGACTTATCTTTAATATTACGGTGGGCGTATACTTGAACGATGTATACATACATACATATACCTAATAAAAATAATATTAATGTAAAAAGATTAAGTTATAAATTCGTAACGAAATATATATAAAAAAAAAAAATTAATAATAATAAATGCCTCAAGCGATAAAATACGTAAAGATAATGTAATAATAATAATAACCGGGGAGAGAAAATACGACACGACAGTTCTTCACGCCGATGACCACATGACTGATGGTAAACCGCCGCACACACTGTATCTGTTGCTCGTATTGTAATGGTGCTGTACACTAAAATACCGTTAATACAAAAACCCGAGAGAATGCATCGCACACATCTCGAACAATAATCTAAAAAAACAAATAAACGTAATGCGCGTGATATGATGATTATTATTATTATGTTAATCAATTAAAAAAATAATATTAATAAATTGAGAAAATTATAATGTATAAGTATCCATTATTATAGTGACGGGCGCAACCGAATATTATATATAGTTACTATCGAACTACCCGATATGGTTAACGCATTCGATCTAAACCATATATTGAAAACTAATATTCTAATAGTTTTTCGAAACATCCGAATAAATGTAATCGATCGTAGACAAAAAATATTCGTAGTACATTTAAACTGTCCAAAACTACATGCCGATAGTATAAACTGTTCGGAAGTGTCCCATCATGAATTTATTACTATCATCGTGCTAACTGCGGGTGTGTTGTCGAAATCAGTAGCGTACGCATGAAGAGATTAGGGGTTATGCCTCCGCCTCCCCAACTGGCTTAAAAATACATCGACTATATGAGTATTTGTTTAAGATAGTAATTTCATTTTGCTATTATATTATATTTTAGCTAAATTACACGGGGAAAAGCTTGATGGTTTATTGAATAAAAATTGACTTTTTAATTCGGCTTTTATAAATTCTCGTTGGTTAACGGTTATAACAGGATAACATTCAAACAATTTATTCACGAATCGTAATTAACATTTTTACTATACAACTATTCTTAACGAAAGTTCTAGATGTTACACCACTAATTGAAACTGATAATATTTTAATATTGTGTCTCTTTATGAAGTATAAAATACCTATGTATAGACAAGAGTTTGATAAAAAAAAGTTTTTAAGAATGCAGAATTATACATGACGAATTAGAAGGAAATAAAAACTAATAATATATTTTCGCATTCTTATATTAATAATACTTTTAGGGGGTATATTATAAAGTTAATGTCACTTATAAATTATAATATCACCTATTATTAAATATTATACATTTATAACAACACACGCCGTCATAAGAGTCTACCTTAACACGAGCGGTTTAATTATAAGACCATAATATTATATTATTTTCTTAGTTTTTATTATAGAATTTTATAATACACACGTAAACAAAAATAATTAATCATTTTTATTATTACTATCCGAATCATCTATTCTCTTGCAGCTCGTCACACATGTTATTATTTTTATATTAAAACACGTATCCTAAAAAATGTATCAAAGTAAAACACGAATATACTCGAGGCATACAAAATAATCCATAATATTTTTTTATTGTGAACCATACGGGAAATATTGAATTCACCTCTAGATCTTATATACATTCTTATTTTTACAATTTTGTTTGTTTTGTTTTTACTGTGCGTTGTGTTGTTGGCAGTTTATACCTATACTAATATATAATTTTATATTTTTCCCATGTGTTATACTGGCAAAAAGAAAAAAAACCTTCTTGGTTTTTATTTTGAAAAGCATATTGACAATAAAAAAAAGAGACGGATACACTTCATACGATTGTGCAGCCATTGTGTAAGAGGGGAGTTGGAAAAATAGGATACAGAAATTAATTTAATGTATACCTGTAAGCAACGATTAACTATTACTAATGAAATAACAATTCTGAGCAGAGTTCAGTTAAAAGTCATGCTTAAGTTTAGATTAAAGAAATATAATATAAAGATTAATAGTTAAAAGAATGTATTGAAAAAGAAATTTATTTTATTTTAATATAGCTTGGTCTATAGTAATGTGCATTTCCATAACAACGATTGTTTAAAAAAATATTTTAAAATAGTAAAAACTTAATAATAATAAAAAAATAAATAAAAACGGTTACCAATGACAACTTTATTTTTAATCTTTCAATATTTTTAACCTAAAGTACCAGGTTTTTCTCATTATTTCGAATATTAATGAGAATTTCAAAAAATTACCTCTCTAAAGTACCACTCAGAGAATATTTTCTTTCAGAAAAAGTATTATACTTGATAATCGGAATAAGCTTTCTGGTGAAAAAAATGTTCACATAAAAAAAATAAAAATCATTGTAAAACCAATACATTGCTCGCTCCGCTCAAAATCTAAAAATCGAGTTCTTTGAAACTCTATAAAAAAAATCAAAAAATATATCGTATATAATTCATATTTAATATTCCAAAAATCGAATTTTATATTCACCTACACCTACCTATATTATACTACAACTGGATCTTGGGTCAAGAAAAGCCAAAAACTCAGTTTCTTTAATTGCTAGTATGACTTTTAAGGTTCAGATTGGTCATTTCTACTATTGTCTAAATATTTACTGATACCGATGTATCGATATTCTTTTTTCTTAATTTTGCTCTAGTTACTTGTACATTATTAGAATAGATACTAGATGAGTACCTAGTTTTATATTTCGAAATAGACTGGAACATTTTTTTGATATTATATAATTGTATATTGAATATTCAGTTCTGTATAGGTATAGTTTTACAATTGGGTAGATATATGTTTATATCCTCAGCTGTGCAGTGCTGCGGTTAATAGAATAATAATTATCATGAACAATATTGCAAAATAAAAGACGCAGTTTATATTATTTATTAATTATTATTCTTTAGCTAATTTTATACGTATATTATTATAATTTAACCATTCTAATGAAGATAATTCTTCATTTTTTTTTTTCTTAACAACCCATTAAACACCGAGACTAAACTCTTAATCCGAGACTGAATCAACTATCTTCGTAATTATTTACATCGTACTATATGATAAGTGTATTTTGCAACCTAATAATCTTTATGAGTACTTATCTATTATCAGAAACAAACGAAATATTTAACAGCATATAGAATATTACAGTTATAATATAATATTACTTTATTAAAAAATAAGAAAACAAATAATACCTTCTAAATTATTTTATGTCATTATTATCAATTCACCACGCGTATTTTAAATTTTAAAAATTATTTATATAGGCAGTTAATAATGGAACAATATACAGGGTGATTTTTTTTTTATCATGAATCAGCAATTATTACAGAAGATTTTTAGTGAATTTGATTTCTGTTTTTTCTAATCATTATGGAATCGTTTAAGTTTTATTTTAAACCATTTTTAATTTTTATCCCTACTCCATATACTTTAAATAAGGGCATACTTGTGATTTTCAAATAAGACCGTGATGTCTTATTAAGGAGAGGGCCTTTTGAACACAAATTTGAATAGAGAATATTTTTCTAAAAATTTTGATAGGCATAACACTAATATTAAATTTACCATTTATGAATTATAACAGTTTCAAATCGAGATAGAAACGAATCAATATAGTAAATAATGAAATTTCCTTACTAAATTTTAAATATGAAAGTTCCATCTCAGATTATAATCGATAATTACACTAATATAACGAATTTTTGATATTTAATTAATTAGTTTACAATTCTGCAACTATGAATTATTAAAGGGAGTTCATCATTAGTAATTTTATTTATAGATAACTTAATGTACGTTGTTTTATCAGAATTCATAGTTAAACCCAGTTCACTTATAAATTTGCATGTTAAATTTAGACCTTTCGTTGCTTTGAGGTATACCCGTCCCCAAGATTTTTCGGAAAATAACAGACAGGTATCATCTGCGTAGGTCATAATTTTGCCATCAATTTTTAAATTACATAATGCATTAATGTATAGTATGAATAAAATAGCTGGTAATAATGCTGATTCATAATAAAAAAATCACCCTGTATTGTTTTACCTAATTTCGAATTATAACGTTTAAAATAATACGCTGCAGGTTACTATTATGTGATCAATTCATTACGTTGTATACGCTCGTTTTTTACTATTATTATTCAGAGTGTCTCATAAATTATTATGTTTATTGCTTAATGTTGCTGAAATTTAAAAGTATAATTTTTGTTTGTGCGAAAAAAAAAACAAAAAACCATCATTTTAAAATCGATATAATATTATAAATGTGTCGGTAGACAACTATTTTATTTATACGATTAATAAGAACTGTATAACTGTAATATTGTGATTTTTTAATCGTGTATAAATATTTTAATAAATTGTTATTTTTGATAATAATAAAACATTTTTCTTTCGTTTAAGTAAAATATACTCGTAATATAATATAATTATATTATATTAAATTTAATAACCACGAGATAGAAACATTGCTATTTAACACGCGACATTGCCGATTATGTTATTGACATAATATTAAATTGTCGATAGTGAGAGCGATTTTATTATGATTTCAATACCAACAGGTATATGTAATTAACTATAAATTAGCATTAGATAGGTGTACCTATTTTTTTTTTTTTTTTTATCTGTACCATACTTTACGAAAATGTTTTAATGTTTTAATGTTTTAATCGATAATTACAATATATAATTATATTATCTGTTTATTCGCGATTAACGTTAGATAAAATTCGTTCATAAAATGTTGTAATTTTAAACGCTTATAAAACAATAATTGTCGAGCAATCTTTTCGGGTCAAAACAATTATACCTACATAAAATCAAATAAAACTCAAAAATTTTAAATGGTTTTAAGTAGCACAAATACGGACATAATGATTTGAACATTAGACCACAAAAATGCTAATATATAATGATTATACGATTATTTTTTATTGAATTACAACAAAAACACATTGGTTTTTCTACATTTATCAAGAAAACTACCAAGACAAATAACGCACCAATAAGACAACTTTTTCCACTACAAACCGTCTCTATAGTTGATCATCTGAACAAGATTTTTAGTAGAAAAGTTGTTTACTTATACAAAAAAAAAAAACACTAATCAGTCTTCTATATTAATAAAAGAAAATGTCTCTATCTGTGCGCGATTCACTACTGAATATATTGCACGTAAAAGTCTGAACACTATGTGTACTATGACAGTACTTCGACACACTGCAACCCCTAAAGGATAGTTCATACAAGAAGCGGCTTGAATATAATTTTGGTTGTTCGCGCAGGGATTTTGGTAGTTTTGATACGACCATTGAATTATTTTTGTGATTTTGGGGCGGATTGGTGACACAGATAATAAAAAAAACAATTAATATTATAGTGAATTTGATTGTTGTTGGCTGGAAAGTACTCTTTTTTAAAAATATCAGACAACAATTGTGACACCAGTGAACACGGGTCGAGGGAATAACGTTTACAAATTTTTTTTTAACATTTAAGGAATAAATACGAGTAGCTCTAAAATGTTGTATTACTCTTTTTTTTTGTCGCCCTAATTTTAGAGGGTGAAACAGTGGCAACGCTAGAACTTTTACTTCAATTGGGCGAAGCTGAGGCCAACATTTTTCTTAATACCTATATATCAATCCGTGGAAATTATTATGGTAAAATAATTGAATAGACAATATATATTTTCTTTAATAATAATTATTTAATATTGTACCGATTTTCCCGTTTTTCCTTTTTATTCACATTTATCAGGGAAACTCTTGAGAAAATTGAAAAATGACACAGATAAATTACCTTCTCAGTCAGATTTACTTTCAGAAAAAGTGTTATTATTGTAAATTGGAGCGAAATTGCTGGTAAAAAAGTTATCCAAGAAAAAAAATGGTAATATTTTACTAATTTATTTCCTACATATTCCTGTTTTCTTCCGATCTTTTTCGTTTTTTCACATTTGATGAAAAATCTCCTAAAAAAAACCAAAAAATGACCTCCTTTAACTCTTTCCGGCACTGGACGGCAAATGAAAATGGTACCTTAGATGCACGTCAATTTTTTTTTTTTTTTTATTTTTTTTGTTTCCTTAACATTTAATATAGATACCTACCAAAACAAATAATCATAGCACTAAAACATTCCTTAGTTAATTTTTAACCTTGAAATTTGCAATTGCTATGCTATGCTAACCACCATGCATATAATAACAAAATTGTCCAGTATATCATAAAGTGTTATCGAATAGTTTTGCAACTACTTCAAATAAAATAAAAACAGTAAATTAACTTTAATTACCAAATTATAATTCAAACTATGTCATAATAAAAAATGTCGTTTGTCCTTTTTTTGAATAATAATAAAATGAAATAAATAACTTCTAAAAATAAAAATTGTAAATACATTAATTGCATATTATTTATTTTTTAATTTTTGTATACTATTTTGTTTTTGCAAATCTTGAAAGCAATTCGAATCTTTCCCCATACATAGAAAATGTACTTGATTTACTTTACGTACAGAAAAAGTCCAAATTGAACGAAACGGTTTTTTTTTTTTTTGTGCTACAATTCGCACACCTTGATATTGTTCTGATTGGATGATGTGCTGAAGATTCATAACGTACACTTTCATAACAATTGGTTTTTTTGATGATACTACTGAAAGTCGAGCTTTTTGTATTTTGCTGAATAGCATATAAGTTTGTTTAAAAAAAAATTAATTCTAATAAATCTTCTGGAAAAAGTTTTAAAAATATTTCCAAAGGAGTGATATCAACCATTTCTTTTATTTCATTACAAATAGCTGATTGCGAATCATCAAACATTATATCTAGTAAAATAAAATTATACTCTGTAGACCAAGTTGGTACATCTATAGAGGTTATTGGACGAATAAGTACAAATTTATTTGGAACATGTGTTTGTGAATAAGTTGAAATAGTTGATGTAGCATTTCTAGATTGATCTAGTTCGTCAATATTTGAATTTAATTTACGTCTTTTGATTAGTGAAGTGGAATTTAAGTTTGAAGAAGTAAAAGGAGCGAAATCAATTTCATTTTCGTCTGAATAATGTTCATCATTGTCGGAACACAAATTAAAATCTAGGTTTTTACCGAAATCATCGTGATCTTCATCAGAAGTCTCTAAATCTGACCCTGAAGGTATATTTTCAAATATCAAACATTTTTTAATTTCTCTTTTACTCAAACTTATAGTATGTCGAAACATTTCTCAAAAATTAATAATATTTGTTCCTATACAATCCACGTAATTTTCAAATTATAATAAACTAAGATATATAATAACTTACCGGAGTCCGGAAGAGTCAAAAAAGTAAAAAGAATAAATAAAATATATGGTGACGTATAATTAAATAAATGCAGACACTAACTGCGTGGTAGTTGTTGCAGTTGATCACCTAAAATGACGACATTACACAAGATGTAAAGCAATTGGGTCGAATAGACTGAAAGATAGACGACTAAGAAAGGGAAATAAAGATAATCATAATGCACTGAAAACACGATAATGAATATTCTGGGAATACCAACACAAATTAAATTCGACCAATATAGTTTTAGAAAATTCTATATAACTAAAATATTTTTAATATTAATTAATATTGATATATCCCATGCCATCTGGTGGTCTATGAACTAATCGGCTTTGGTGGTTAGCAACAATGACCACGAAATGAGAAAAAAAGAAAAAATATTTTCTGGGTAGTTAGCTCCACTAACCACAATTCTGCAATAAGCAGAAAAATTAAGCGGTCAGCTGTACTTGCCACCATGCCGGAAAGAGTTAAGCACCACCCTAAAAAAAATTGTGTATCAGAAAAGGGTATGTATCGTATACATTGGACTCGTCAAAATTAGCTTTCTTGTAGAAAAACTGTTCAAATAAAAAAAAAAATTTAAAAAATTACATATATTATAAATCCAATAGATTTTTCTAAAATATAATTATGATCTCTACATTTCTTCGTATTTCTATATATATTTAAAAATATGATATTTAATGTTACACAGAATTTCTTTATAATCGTACAGAGTGGGCCGCTGCCCAACTTGGCCCACCCCTGGAGCCGTTACTGGGGTAAAACCACTACTTTTGATATTCAAATGATAACATACATTAAAAATTCTATAAATAGATGGACTATTAGTTTAAATCGATTTCGGAGTTGACATTTTTATTTTCCGTTAACCCCTAGATGAAATATTCTACTTTTAAGTTTGGTTAGAGGGAAAATGGTGGAACACTACTAAAACGCCTTGCCAACACTCAAAAAATAACATTTATTATTATGTTGCTGATAGGGAAAATAATTACCTAGGTAGTAATTTATAAACTCGTAGGTAGCTTGGTAGGTAGGTATACACCAAAATTAATATGCGATACAAACGCTATACCTAAGTTAGTATAGAAAAATCTAATTAAAAAATTATTTACCTATAACCAGGACTCGGATTTTATTGCATTTTTACTAATTACTATAGGATACAGATAATAGTAGCATAGTTAACTATAACAGTTTGTATTATGCACCAAAAATTCCAAGTAATTATTGTCTATACAATGTTATAAAGCTATTATCTTCCCCGTTTTACACTAAGCGTTTAAAATGTTTAGAATTATTCTTCAAGTTTTGGTGCTTTTTTTACCGATATTTATTGTATAAACTTTGTGATATGCTTGTGTTTTTCGTTTGAATAAAATAAAAATATTAGAAAAAAGTTACGTGAATAGATAAGGAAAATAACTACATGTAAAAGAGAGTAATAAGCAATAAACAATTAAATTTTATTTTGCATATTTAAAGTTTTGTAGATCATATTATAGCGCACATTTCGATATTTTTTACTTTTAAGTGCTATAAATTCCGAGTATTGCTTTATATGTTACTATTATTTCCATAGATTAAGAAAAATTAAATATTTTTATATCCAAAATTTTTCTCAGCATAAAATTATAACAAACAATAATAGTATAATGTACTGATTTCGAAAATTATATTCCATAATTTTCTATGTGTTAATTTTTTTTAATATGCGATAATGTGATGTAAATACTAAAAAAAAAATAAACTATGTAATTATTATATCGAACACTTCGCCTACAGAAATCGTTAAACTTCATAACTGCTATATGCACAAAAATATATTTATTTTTAAATATCGATAAGATGATAAGTAGGTTCGACAAAAATTAAATAAATAAGAGACAATATATAGAATAATCTTGTGATTATAACGTGTCTACAAATCACGTGTTTGTAATACAATCGAATCTGTAAACAATAAAAATATAAAAATATCTATAGGATAAGTTTCCCATGTATAATCCGAATAACATTTTTCAAAACACCCGAATTAACTAAAATCAGAATGAAACATTCTGATTAACCCGGAGACCGAATGTATAGACCAAAATCGTAAAGACAATTTCTATTGTTATTACAAATTCGTCTATTAAAAATACGCGAATCGCTAGATTTTTTAATCTCCCTGGACCGATCTGTCCCCAATCCGTCTCTATATTGTTAACCAGGTAATATTTTGTACACAATTTTGTTTGTACCTATATTATAAGAATACAATAGGTATATGTAGGTATAGTTAGTATTCCACCTAACGAAAAAAAAATTATTCATTACATACATTAAAATGCATTACCTATATTGGAAACATTTTAAATAATTTTAATACAGTAAAATATTTGTTTGTCTGTGTAGTTTAAAATTTAATAATTATTTTTAAAAGAGTAGCAGATAGATATAATGATATTTGTACATTCATAATTTATTGTATGTTGTTTAGATTTACATAAGTTACAAGGACTCGAATAAAACCTAATATAATTGCCCATACCTTATTTCTTGAGTTACTTAAGCAAATTTAATTACTTGAAATTAATAAATCTAGTTTGGTCTAAAAGATTGTTGCACATTCGTGTTGGGAATTCATATTTTATCATACAGGTAGGCAATATAAATCTGGAGCTTGGGTCAAAAAGGGCCAATGTCACTTTTCGATGAATATGACCAGTCATATAGAATTGTATACGCTTTTTCTATTGGTAAAAGGGCGTATCTCAATAATCATTATTGGGAGATTTGAGAAGAAAAATTACTATTGCAATATCAAAAAGGAAAAATATGTCACATTCATTTTGCTTTTTTGATGGGGTGTTAAACAACTTTTAGGAGACCCCCAATACAAAATGATGTTTTTCTAGACGGTTATTAACACCCAAACGTTTGTTTACATTTTTTATTTTAGTAGGTATTTAAATACTCGAATTTATTCAACATCCAATAATATGTTATATATGTAATAATATATAGTTCGATAAATATGACTGCTGTTCACTATCGTTTCAATCGATTGACCAATCTATTTGAATCAATCGCTATTGACTCAAAGTCACAAATAATTAACGGAGGGAGAAAAATGAATTTTTCATACTTGATTGTAAGCAGAAATTTTCCAGAATTTCAGAGGGAGCTATAAAAAAGAAAACTATTGTATTTCAAAGCCGCTCTCTACGCTTGCAAAAACCAGCTTACCTTAAACACCATAAAACACCTAAGTGTGATTTAATTTAGACATTCTGTATAAGTGTGTAATATATATATATATATATAATATATACAGGCTATCCCACGAAGATATACCCTTTGAATATCTCCGAAGATAATATAGATAATCAAAACAGTTTTTTTTTTTTTATTACTCACAGAGATGAGGACTACAAGTATTTATATTTGAATTAATTTTTTTTTTATTAAAAAAATTTAAAAAATTAAATTCAAAATTCAAGAATTTGATTATCATTATTATCTCCGAAGATATTCCAGGGGTATATCTTCATGGGACAGCCTGTATATATATTATATTAGCATTTTTTTGAAAGATAGATAGATGAAAACTTGATTTATCATTGAAATAATTTAAGCGCTATCAATTAATTTAATTTCTCTAATGAGATTTAAACTTAAAAATTATTATTGTTAATCTTCTGAGAAATATAAAGAAAAATAAAAATACATAATAAATATTTCTTTACAGTACAACCTTGTTACCAACATTAAAATATATTACAAATTTAAAAACATGTTGAATTGTGTATATTGTACACAATAATATAGAATACCTAACAAAAAATTAATATCGTTTATTTTAAAACAAGAACTAAGATGTTTATTTATTTTTTACAGTGGCTGCTCTCATCCCTAGTATCAGCTCTTTTTCTATTTGCACTCCAATAATATATTAATTAAAAATTACTACCTATGTATATACAGAATGATTCACTAAGCGTGCTCATCCTATATTTTTGGTTAAATTTTACATTTATTCAAATTCTTATTTTTGAAATTTTAAAATGTAGTTAAAGCCGTTATTTTCAAATACTTAGATTTTTCACAACATTTAAGGAGTATCCCTGTTGTGGTACCAACTTTGGTTTTTTTAAACGACGAGAACCTATATTAAAAATGCCGTAGATAGACGGAGTATTACTTTAAATAAATTTGGGTGTCGACATTTTTTTTTTCCGACAACTCGTTAACGAGATCCAAAAGTCAGAATTTTAATACATGCATAATTCTCTCCTAAAAATAATCATGCTTAATAACCCTATGTATATTATACATATTTTATTTTATTACCTAGACATGTATTATTTATAGTAGTGATCAGTGACCACTTTACAAGTAGTACCTATATTTGAGGGGACTATGTCCAATTTCCACCTACAGACTTTGATTATTTTCAACAGATTTTAGCTAAATATACCTTCCATGTGCCAATTTTCAAAATAAACATGATATCAATCGATGGGCTTATTTTGCTATATTACTGATGTCAAATTATGCGATGTAATATTAAATTCTCAGAAATTAAGTAGTTGGTTTTTGTACAATAATTAATAATGTGTAATTATAGATAAACTGCATCAAACCCAATTGATGCGTTCTGGGATCAAAATTGTTCATAGGTTATCAACAAGTGCAATTAATGTGTGCTCTTCTACTCTCAACTATATTAAGTAATAGTTTATTAACAAAATCACCAATTACTATAACAAAAATATGTAATAATTACAATTAAACTTACCGAAAATCACTTTGAAAACATAATTAACACCAACCGAGACAACAGCTACAGTACAAAAACATAAAATCTAAATGATACAGGTAATCAGCGATAACAAAACATAGAGCCCAACGGAGAGAAATGGTTAAAGCGACTAGGGATATCGCTTTAGATAATATCCGAACGGTGCGTTATAAAAATAGCATGAGGAAAAAAAAAACGATTTTTAAGTTTGTATACGGTTCGTAGCC